CGGAGCTACACATAGAGATGCTTATACAAACTCTAAAATGCTGTACGCTAAAACCACAAATTCATGCACAAGTGTATAATATTGGGTTTAAGGGTTTAGGGCTTTTGAGGGTTCAGACCATTTGGTGTGCGGGCTTCAGGCCGGTTAGCCTGCAGAGTTTCCGGGTTCATGGGTTTGTTTGGGGTTTTTTCGGGTTGGGTGTAAGCGATCTCAAGTTGTAAGGCTTAAGTCCCACAGGCCAGGATGCAAACAAGAGATTTTGGTCTTAATGTGTTTGTGTGGCGGGTTGGGGGGCGAGTTTCGGGGTTCTAGTGTTTAGGGATGTCAAGGTTTAGGGCTTTCGGGTTGAGGGCATGTTGGGGTTTACGGAAATGGGTTTAACATTTTCAAGAACCCAAGCCTTCCCATCCCGCAACAAAGCAAACCCGAACCTGAACCTGAACCGTGCACCCTTGCCCGCCGAACCCGAGCCCGAGCTTGAACAGGTTGTGGTCATTTGTTGCTCCAATGGCTCCACCCCGTTCATGATTCATCATAGTCTGGATGTGACGGGTGGTGTTGATGATGCGATGCAAAATGCACAAGCGTCTGATGTTTCTAAATGTGCATTTGAAAAAAGCTCATCCCAACTGCGGAGCCGTCACGAAATGATCCAGACGCCCACCGCACGCCCACTACACGCCCACTGCACGCCCACCACACGCACGCCCACTACACACCCACCACACACCAACCACACGCCCGCCACACGCCCACCACACGCCCGCGTGCCCACACGCCCCATGGTCCACCCCCCCCACACCCGGGAAACCGTGAACGAAGTTGCGCTTCAGCAGCTGCACACCCAATTTACAGCCTAACAATCTTCAAGATCTTCTGACGCTGGGAAACACATGGGGCAGGAGGCCATGCTTTACGGCCTGGCGTCGGCTGCAGCGAAGGCTTGGGCGGGGCAGATCATGGTTCCACGGCCACGCCCACGTTTCGGGTTATGAAATGTTAACATTTGCGACCTCTACTGTATTATCCACGTGTCTTCATGTAGCAGAAAGTGTATCAAGGCACATGGTTGAGTGTGGTTTTGGGGCCCCGAGGTGAAGTCAAACTTTTCACCTTTCTAGTTTTGGTCCAGTAGGGAGCTGTGGGCTTGTAGTTGTTCAGGTGGCAGAAGAAGGTGAAGGAGGCAGATTCGACATCGAAGCCCGGCAAAGACAGTGGGCCTGTCCAGTCTTGTTGCTGACTCCATGGCAAATATTGGCACATGCTACATAAGTCCATGCCTTGCTTTCGTCCCCAAGGAAAGAATGCTGGCAATCAAGGACACGATCTTGCTAGCCGAGTTATGAGACTGCCCTCGGCCATGTCTTTGTACCGTCGCGTGGGCAGAAGTCAAATAGACTTGCCTTGGCACGGTGTTGCGGACAAGCACCTGTTCGTTCAAGCACGTCGTTGATATTCTTTGCCTCTTGGCTCCTCATGATTGACAACTGACGACGAGGCGGATCGACAACTCTCGCAGCCTGAACAACAGGAAAAAATCCAGGCCACATGGTGACAGAGACGAAGAATGATGTTAACTCGCTGGCTGCAGCCGACAGACGATACGCGAGACGGAAAAATGCTTCTGCAGGGCTTGATGCATGTGATGGAAGGCTATTCTGTAGTCCTTGGTGCTGTGGCTGCGATGGCTGTTGAAACTGTAACGAGTTAGACGGTAGGAAAAAATCAACTTGTTCGTGCCTGGCTTGTTGGTGCAGGACCTGCCCACGGCTTTGGAGTGCAACACGAGAAGTGAAGATCATGGGCTCTGTGTCGAGGAGCCAGCATCCGGATAGTGCTTTTTATTTGATTTTTATCCGTTTCTGCCTTTGCCAAACATGGTCCTTCAAGTTTTTCTTATCGAAGTCAGCTGCAAGCTGAGGAGTATTGTAGGCTTTCTGTGAGAGTGGTGCTGCGGATCATTGTGCAGATTCAGCGGCTTGCATCTGTTCCTATTATTGCTGATTTCATGTGGGCATGCCAGGACCAGGAGTTCGAATCTACAAGCCGAGACTTCTCGGCGCAGGCGCTTGGTGCTGACTTGGCCAAGGAGGCCTGACGGCTTGTCGAGTCTTGCCGCAGTGGTGCGCATCCGTGGTGGTAGGAAGGTGTTTGGGAGTGAGAGAGTGAGAGAGTGAGAGAGAGAGAGAGAGAGAGAGAGAGAGAGAGAGAGAGAGAGAGAGAGAGAGAGAGAGAGAGAGAGAGAGAGAGAGAGGGAGAGAGAGAGAGAGAGAGAGAGAGAGAGAGAGAGAGAGAGAGAGAGAGAGGGAGAGAGAGCAGCCATTTTGGCTCAAGACGAGTGCTCAAGAGGCAGCCCGTGTCCGAGCCTCGAACAAAAAGTGTAGCTCATTCAAAGCAGGGGGCGGGGCAATCCGACCTCTACTACCACTCCTGATCTACGCGACTTCCTCGCGAAGGTTGTGTCCCAGCCCTACGGTGGCCACGGTCCACGAGGGCAACCGCTGCTGCCCGGTCCGTCGGGGAGATTAAGACCCACTACCTGAACGCGAAGGGGGCGCACCAGTTCTACACCATCGAGCGGCGTGCCGACATCACCTATGGCGACGACAGGGGCCATGCCAGCATCCGCAGTGGGGAGCCCCGCCACGGGGCACAAGAGAAAGGGGCTGACAGTCGACCTCGAGGACGCGTTGACGGGGACCGGGGGGGCACTGCCGCTGCAACTCGGGGATGTCCAACAGGCCCTGAGGACAGAGGTGCAAAGCTTCCTGGGGGAGATCAAGACCGCCATGAACCAGATGGAGGGCCGCATCGCAGACAAGCTCAACGACAAGCTGGAGGGAGTGCACGAGCAGCTGGGGGAGCTTAAGGAATCCTATGCGGAAGTGAGAGACGGCCTCCGGGGGACCAACCTGCAGCTGAGTAGCCTTGAAGACCGCATCGCCACACTGGAGAAGCAGGGGGGCAGCTCCACCACCGGAGGCCCAAGCAGCATGGGCGGAGCAGCCGGACGGCGCCGCGCCATTGTGATTGGTGGCTTCCACCGCGACACCCCCAAGGACGAGCTCATCGAGGGGATCAACAAGCTCGTGCGCCAGCTGGACCTGGACCTCAACACAGTCAACATGTTCGCGACGGGGATCAGAAGAGGTTCGGCGATAGTGCCTTTGGAGCCCAAGCCGGACGAGGGGGACAGGGAGATGACTGCCCGCTACGCCGGGGTCCTTCGCAAGATCCGAGACGCCAATGTGAACCTGGGACAGCGCGATGATGGGGGGGTACGTCGACTTTGGGGAGCCTTCTCACAGACCCTGCAGCAACGCCAGCGGAGTGCCTTTGCGGGAAAGGTGAAGCGCTTGGTGCTTTCCCAATCACCAGGGACGGGGGTTGAGTGCGAGTGGTCGTCGGGAACCGTTTGGGCATCAGGCCGGAGGATCGCTTCCGCCACCACGACCCCTCCCTTCATGGGGACCGTCCACAACACGAAGGCTGGCTGGATCGACCTCCAAGCACTGGCAAGGATCCTGGGGAAGGATGAGAAAGACCTGGGCGAGGCCTGGGAGCCCCTGGAGGGGCAGCCTCGCTGAGAAGACCAACAGTGTCACCTCCGGACCTGGAATGTGGGGGGCCTCTCGCTAGACGCTCAAGGCGACTACCTGGAGGAGTTCCTCGCAGCCATGGACGAGAGCCTACTGGAATTCGCAATGTTGCAAGAAGTACCACAGCTTGGGGGGCCCCGGCCCCCCCCACTTTCAAAGCCTGCAGCCAAACGAGCTCGCACAGTTGACAAACCCGCCAAGAAGGAGATCCCTGACTCGCCCACGCCACACATCTTGGCCAAACAGTACGACACACATACACTTGTACAAGCCTGGCATGAAGCAAAAGCAGCACCGGGAAGTACAGAGCGGCTGAGTGCAACGAGAAGGGGGCCAAACTACAGCGAGCACGAGCAGCACCACGACGCGCTCGCCGACAACACGGACGCCGACGTCGAGGAGGAGCACGACCAGCACCACGACGAGCTCGCCGACAACCAGATCCACGAGGACCAGAAGAACGACTGCCCAAGCGAAACGAGAGAACCGGGGAGCGCCCAGCACGAACCGGAGACCTCGACGAACCTCGACGACGGGGAGGAGGACAACGTGGACCAGGGGGAGCCGCAACGACGAGGACAGAAGAGAAAGCGACAAGCAGACCAAGCAAGAGGACAACCACAGACAGTGCCGGAAAGAGAGGAGGCAAATATGGCGGGGACAAGGGGACCGATAGCTGCGGAAGAAAGAGACGAGAGCGCTACGCCAACCACACAACTACGAGAAGGAGACCACGATGATCGGCGAGAAGATGATCGACCAGGGGACCCAGACACTGAGGGACACGAAGTAGACCCGAAACCATCAGAGAAATGAGCTGATGGAGTATGTTTGGGGGCACACAAAAGATGACCACCCCACACACCCCCTAAGCTTCAAACGAAAGCCTGGGGGCCTTGGACCAGAACCGCTGGGCCGTCGTGGCCGGGGGACCTCCTCTGGGGGGACCCTCTTGAGCGTGGAGAAGAAGAAGAAGAGAGCGAGAGAGAGCGAGAGAGCGAGAGAGCGACAGAGCGAGAGAGCCAGAGAAAGGAAGAGAGAGAGAGAGAGAGAGAGAGAGAGAGAGAGCGAGAGAGCGCAACTGAAGAGGCGATTCAGTTCCTAGCCTGTGGGGGTCGTCACAGACCTAGACCGACTGGACGAGCGAGACACTTGACCGTCGTTGTCGGGTCCCTCCTTCGGGAGGGGCCCCAATCAGAGTGTGCAGACGAAGAAGCGCAACTGAACTTGTGCCAGTACCGTCTTTCGAGAAGCATAATGCTGTCCTCGTGCATTTGTTGTAGACATTGCCTTTAGCCAGCTTTCAGCAACAGGTCGCTGGGGTGTCCTTCATGCAAGAGGGCATCGAACGGGCAGATGCCCTTCCGGGGCACTTTCACAAGGCAACTTGCCCTCTTTGTGTCCACGCATGTTGACATACACCAGGCTCGACGACCTCCTGTATCATCATGAAAACATGAGGCTTTTGCTTTCATCAGTCATGCTGCCCGTGACCTGTGCCCGCTTCACGCAGCAAGCTACAGCATGGCGTAGAACGAACTCAGAGCCAGCGCCGCCAGGCCCTCACGGACTCCATCCTTTCCATCCCGATGCTCCTGGCAATGCTGACAATGCTGATGCTGTGGACCAGGCTGCTTAGGGGATTTTCTGCCTGGAAGTTTCCCGTGCGAAGTTTCATATGTGCACGCCGGATGCCTTTGTCAGGAAGCAGTACGGAGGGCATGGTAAATGACTCCATGTGGAACAAAGGGTTTAGGGTTTAGGGGGGGGTGGGCAAGTCTCTCGGTCTTCCAACCGACGGAGTTTGAATACACGCCCTTACTCTGCACTCACTGTTTGGGTTAGGGTTTGGATTCCTACACGTACCCTCACTTCAGGGCTGAATGTTTGCTGCCCATCAGTAAGCCTTTGCTAGCAATCCCTCATTGTGCCAAGCACTTTCGGGTTTTTGTATGTCACAACGGACGGCTCATGCCTGGTGCACTGTTCGTTCTATACGGCATGTGCAAGGGTACTTAGGTCACAGGCATGCCTGTGGATGGTGATGCACGTGCTGCTCACATTCCATTTGTGTTGAACATTTGCACAGGCCACCCGAAGAAGACATGCAGACGTTCCTTGCTCTTGTGGCGGTCTGTTTAAATGTGGGAGTGTGTGGGATTGTGCGTGACTGTGTCTGCTTTGTCTGGTAGTGGTGCGCAAGCAGCCATCAGCAGCCCCACATGGCCGGTTCCGCAGTTCTCGCAGTCTCTGCACGGTCTTGCTCCAAGTCGCACTTTCATGTGCACGCTCGCTCTTGGTGGCAGGTGCGGTGTACATTCTGTTACTCCCATTTGGTCTTTCTGCACGGCGCACATTGTTGGCTTCATGTGTTGCTTTTGCGGCTTCTCATTGTGGTCTCACCTTGGCGAGATGCACAAACTCTGTTCAGATATTGAGTTTTCGAGCGTAAAGCTTCAAAGCAACAGGACCGTGTGAGCTGGAGAGAGCGCCGTTGCACCAGGTATGGAGAATCAGTGCCGTTGTTTGCGGTGTGCCATTTTTGCAGTGCAGGTGCACAGTACCTTTGACGTCACGTGAGCAGAAAGAGCCCACCACTCCAGCATCTGTGGATGCATGGTGCTGGTCTTGGAAATCTGTCCCGCTATGTTGCTTTGCAGCTTTCTTTTTGTGGACCAGGTGTGTGCAAGGCCAGGCCACAGACACGGAGTCGCTTCCTCAGCTGTTATGCTGTTGTTCGACTGCGCGAGCCTCCGCCGACAGGTTTTTCTTTGTTTGGTATGCTTGCTGACAGGTGTGAAGGGAAGTGGCTTTGTCACGAGCTCATCGCTGCTTGGCACGCAAGAATGGGTGTCTTGAGGTGGGAACTGAGCCTGCTATGAACCATTCCGAGGTGCCAAGAAGCAGCAAATGTGCGGTCACCATGCCGCGCATGCTGAAAGCAGGACAGCAGATGGGTTTGCTTGGCCGTCGTGTCTCGCACTTTCTGCTCAGTCCTGTTCTGTTTCCAGGACCCTGGACAGCTCTGGCACACGCCTCAGAGTGATCTTACACTTCTAAGTCTGGCTTTGCCCATTTCCATAGTTTCTTGGTGGTGAAACTGCCATGCAAGGTCAGTGACAAGATGGGCCAGTGCATGTTCAAAGCCTGCACAGCAGAGGCTGGAAGTTTGTAGAAAAGCTCACAGCGCTAACTTCTCAGTCTTGTGTTTTTTGGGAGCGAAGTCTCGTTTTATTGAGACACACGGGTCTCGCCATTGCCTCTGACTTTTTCCGTTTGTGTGGTTTTCCATCAAGGAACGCACAACCTGAAGCTTTTCATTGCACCTGCGCGGACTGTACCTGGTTCAGGCTTTCGGATGACAGTAGCTGTTTTAGCACAGGGCTGCACAGAAACCACCACCGGAGGAACCACTAGCATGGGCAAGTTGCATAGTGAAGTCGCCGCAGGCAGGAAAGCCAACTGAGATACCCACTCTTTTAGCCACTTCCACTGTTTCAGCAGAGCACCTGGCTTTGAACATGCATGGACCTCGCACAATCCTTCGTCCAGAGCGGGATGATGATGAGGATGAGGCGGGGGGTGCGTCATCTTCATGTGAGGCTTTACAAAAATGGGGGCCCCTAAATAGACCCACATAGTAGGATCCCCTCAAATAAGGACCCCAATAAGGTAACACTGCTGTTGGGCCACACGACAGTACCTCCTGTCAGGTTTCCGTTTTGCTGCGCTTGAGTCGTGATGAGGACTACAGCCCGTTGACTGTGGCGCTTCAGTTCTATCTCAGAAGCCAATCTAAATGTGTGTCGCTCGAAAACTCGAGGAGAAATGTGATCTGTCAGTACCTGGCTCTATTCCGTGGCCTGGAATCACCTTTTGGACCATTTTGCAATAGCATCTACTCCTCGTAAAGCATGTCATAAATCGAAGTCTATCAGCATGCAGCAGTGCGCAGAAAGCCCAGCATTTGTGGGACGTCAACTGTTCGCTTCAGATGTTGAATACCATTTTTGTTTTGTTGACTGTGTTACACGATCCTGTTGGTCCTGGTCAGGATCCCTGGTAGACCTCAAACACTACCTGGACCATGCGACACCTGCCACCTGCATACAGCACCTGAAGGTACGTAGCAACATTTCCCAGAAATAGTACTTAAACTCCAAAAATCAACGAAACATCTCAGACTCAATAAATAGGCGCCTCCCGGTAAGCAAGACACACTCTCTCGATCCCATCGAACACCGAGGCCCCGGGATCAAGCAGGCTCGCCCGTGCAAGTTCCGAAAGTTGCCCTCGTTTTCATGGCCGCTGAGTTGCATTCCTGGGGTCAACGAATTCATGGAGTCGGGGTACACTAACCCACTTTGTTGGGTCTGAGAGGGCTTGGTTGAGGAGGAGGCCCGGCAGTGGTGCAGGATGCAGCAGCAGCAGATTTGGAGCGTGTGTGTGTGTGTGTGTGTGTGTGTGTGTGTGTGTGTGTGTGTGTGTGTGTGTGTGTGTGTGTGTGTGTGTGTGTGTGTGTGTGTGTGTGTGTGTGTGTGTGTGTGTGTGTGTGTGTGTGTGTGTGTGTGTGTGTGATTGTGTGTGTGTGTGTGTGTGTGTGTGTGTGTGTGTGTGTGTGTGTGTGTGTGTGTGTGTGTGTGTGTGTGTGTGTGTGTGTGTGTGTGTGTGTTGCTGCACCAGCATCAACTTATTTGGGAAAGAGCGGCCGGAGCCCAAACCAAGCTGTTGCAAGCGAAAGCCCTAGGCATTTGGCATGGTCTTGGTGGTGGGAGTGGTCCTCGCGGCTGTGCTGCGCCCTCCTGGCTACGGGCATGGTGCACTTGCGGACACTTCTCTGAGGTCGCCCTGCTTCCGTTTGGTGGGAGGTTGCAAATGGATTGACATTGGATGACTCGGGCTGAGAAAGATTGAGTGGTCGCGCGTTCCCGATTGGGTACCTACCAACGAGAGAGAGGAGCCGAATTGCAACCAGCAGATACCAGTTCAGAACTGTGCTGCTTTTCTGGCCTGCAGATTCAAGACACGTGGACGTAAAGCTAATCTTTGGTTTGCAAATGTTTGCAAAGGGGCGTTAAGGGTCCAGTACTTGGGCTGGTACTGAGCCGTGGACGGCACTTCCCCTAGAAATTCACGATGGGGCCCTGCGCTTTTGAGCACTCTACTTTATTCTTCGCAGTCTGAAGGCTCTACTTTTGTCGTGCAGTGATTAAACGGCCTGTGTGTTTCTTTTAGGGGGTGGGGGGTCGCGGGGTCGACCCCCCCACCCCTGAGGCCCATTGAGCTGCATAGGAATGGTTCGGAATGGCTCGGAATGGCTCGGAATGGCTGGGTCTGTGTCTGTGTTGTCAGTTAGCAAGCAATCCCCGGGAGGAGTTTAATTTTAACGCTACGCGACCCGCCTCGGCCCGGCCCAGCGCATCCGCGTGATTCCGCAGCGCCCAAGTCGCTGGACCCCAAGCAATAAGGGTTGGGTTTAGGGTTTAGGGTTTAGGGTTTAGGGTTTAGGGTTTAGGGTTTAGGGTTTAGGGTTTAGGGTTTAGGGTTTAGGGTTTAGGGTTCCGGGTTTATGGTTTATGGTTTAATTTAGGATTGAGGGCTTAGGGCTTTGGGTTTTAGGGTTTTTTTGGGAGTAGGGTTCAAGACGGTTCGGCTTGGATTGATCGTAGGGTTGAGCCAGGCCCCTCAGGGGCGTAGGGGGGGAGGGGGGCGGTTGAGTGCTTCAGCTGCAGGGAGGGGGGTGGGGGGGGTGGGGGGGGGGGTGGGTGGGGGGGGTGGGGGGGGGGGGTGGGGGGGGTGGGGGGGGGGGGTGGGTGGGGGGGGGGGGGGGGAGTGGGGGGGGGGTGGTGGGGTGGGGGGGGGGGGGGGGCAGAAGAAAAAGATGGGCGCCTGCTGGGAGGGGCTTCAACTGCCTCTGGTCCTGGCGAACCGTCCGCTTGAGGACCCCGGTTTCCTAGGGGGGGTACCCATTTGAGGCAAAAAAAGGGGTCCGAAAAGTGGCTGGGGGGAGGATTTGGAGGGGGGTGCCTGTTTTGACAACCTATACACCTCCGGCCCGAGGCCTCGGCGGATTGACAGGGTGGCAGGTGAAGTCCATTCGGGTTTATGAGAATAGGGGCCCCCAACATAGATCCCCCTAACAGTAGGATCCCAATACAATAAATAAGGTACCCAAAATGTCGGAAACCCCCCTTTTTCTTCGGAGGTTGAATTTTGGGAGTGGATTTCGGATGCTAGGATGGTCTTGCTGTTGTTGACGCCCAGCATGCGCCTATGTTTAGAGAACACTGGTTCCGCTGAACCTTTTGCAGACACGGTTGAGGCATTCTTCAAACCTGGACGAGGAGAATGCTGGCGTCAGAAACAAGGCAGGAGAAGCTACACACTTCTGCGCAGGCCGGTTGTTTTTGCAATTTGATGGCAGGCGTCACGGCCACAGAACATGTGCATGGACTGTGACCCGTGTGGGCAGCCCAGCTTCGTTTTCCTCTCTTTCCTTGGCTTTCTGATTTGAAAAAACCGTGCATCTGGAGGTGCTGACCAGGTCCAGTGTGTAGGGATCGTGGACGCGTTCTTTCAGAATGCAGCGAAAGGCCAACTAGGACTCCGGACCGGCGACCGGGAATCTGCAAGAAGGTAAGTCCATCATATACTGCTTGTGGTGACAGGACTCTTCCGCACATACCAGCAAGCCCTGAATGCTGGTGCATGCGCGAATTGTAGCTTGGCAGAAAGAGCAAGCAGCGGTTGTGCTTTGTGTGTGTGTGTGTGTGTGTGTGTGTGTGCAAAATTTCTGAAAGGGAGCCGAAGCGTGAAACGGCATTCGGTCAAGACCAGCAAAAAGCAGGCTTGCCATAGAAACCCCTCGAGCTTGGCGACGGAGCCCTTTTGGTAGCCGTGCGCCTATGCAAACTCCACAGCTTGATTTCAAGGCGACCTATCCGCCGACTTTGGCTCCCTCGTCAAGCGGTGTGATGTCTACGACAATGCCGCTCGGTCGATGCTGTTGAAGTTGCTTGTAGGATTCCGTATGCATTTCTGAGCCTGGAACCCTGTTAACCAGAACCCATACACCTTCGACTTTGAGCTACGGGGGTGGTAGCTCAAAGCTTGTGTCCTAGGGTTTACCCCGGCCCGAAGCCATGGACACTCAAGGCCGTGGCGGCGATCTATCTAACGAAGCGTGGGAACTACGAGGAGGCGCGGGGCATCCTGGATGTGTTCCTGCGGCCACTCGGCGGGGGGGCTTTTTGAGAGTTTTCCGGGATCGGATTTTCATGGGCCTTTGTATGCCAAGGTCTTATGCTTTAAGGGACCTTGCCGAGGCTTCTTTACCCCACCTACTACGGCAACATCTACCCCGAGGCCAGCTCCGAAATCGGGGTCGGTTCGGGTCAAACGCACATCCCAGCTCATCCAGCGACTCCAGCGCCGAAACACACAGTAAAGCACACCAGGTATCACCAGGTCAAGCCCTAAGAGAGCTCGGCATCTTCCACGGCAGGAGCTGTTTGCCGGAGCGTCGTCAGGGCTCACCGTGCGCCTCCTCGCTGCCTCCTACAACTGCGACATGCTTCCAGAGGTCCCCTTTGTAACTTCAAAATGATCGGTGGGGTGGGCTCGCTAGTCTTCGATGTCTCCCTTTACGACGACGACTACTACTCACAACTGACATGGTTAATGTTTGAATTTGTCGGTTGTCTGCTGTTAGCTCAAACGAAGCATTGGATAAGGCCTTCAAGGGGCCCAGCTCTCGGAATCAGATTTCAGATACAAGTACAAAAGGCCCGAAGACTTTTTTGCAAGTTAACCTTGGAGAAACAAGCAGCTGCTAGTTGAGTTTAGTTTTGGCCATATGTCGGCATCCTCAATGTGTCAGTTCGTATCTCAAAGCCCGAAACTCAAAACCCTAGGCTTGCATTCACATCTGGAATCGTTCTAGCAGGCCAGAGACATTCCAAGCACATCCTGGAATCGTGCCAGCTTCGGTCATGTTACCAATTGCGCACCATGCAGAAGTAGAAACCATTGGAAGTAGGCGCTCGCGGTCTCCGAACTGAAAAATTCACGCGCTCTGTCATCAATTTTTGGCCGCCTTCTTTAGCTCACCTTTGTGGTTTGCTTGACGAAGGCTTCCGAAGATTTGTGACTCATTTTGGTCCCAGCTGGCATATCGACTCAGACAAGCTTGGTGAGAGGAAGTCCTGTGAACAGTGCGCAGGCTTCGAGCTTTGCTTCGCCAATGGCCCCTCCGAAAATTTCAAGTGATCTGAGATTTCATGCTGAGTGGTGAGCATTGCCGACTTTGAAACAGTTTCTCAACCGCAGCTTCCGAGGTTGTGGACGAGGCGGTTGACTCCGGCGACAACGCTCCTTGTCTTTGGTACTCGTAGCTCTTCACCTGGGGGGCTCACAAGCCCGAAGGCTTGAAGGTCTTTGAACCTGAGTATCATGAATCTCATTCATCCTTAATGGGCGCACGTGTTTTTCAGCGCACAAGTGGAGTTCAATGGAAAGCTTGAGGCCTGGGCGGCCTTGGCCCTCGCGCACTTTGCGTTCGTCACTGGACAGAGCTGCTACGGCACTGCCGCCAACGACATTCTTGAGGCCAGGTGCGCGCGCACGTCGGTATCTGCAACGTGTTTGGTATGCTGCTTGAGGCCATCGCTGCGGCAGGCGATTCAGCTGGAAGAGTGTGTTTTTGGTTGAAGCCCAAGCCTGGCGGATGCAAATGCCGCGGCTGAGGCACGTGCCATGATGACTTGTCCGGATTCCTGGGGCGATTGCCTCCCAAGCGGGGTCATCAGCGTGCAACTGAGCACCACATCGACCTGTTCGCGTTGGCAGGCGCCACGTTAAACGAGCTGCGCGAGAGTGCAGAGCGTCCTGCCGAGTGTGCGAGCGGCGAGGAACTTGCTCTACTTGTTCTGTGCAGAAACTACAGGCATGCTTGGGAACACCCAGCTTCAGCAGCGTGCTTCACGGTTCATCCAGAAGATGCACGGGCGCCACGAGGCCTCGGAGGGCCTCGGAATGCACGTGGCTTTGGGCCTTTTCAGGGCCCTTCCCGGGGCCTTCACAGGGCCTTCCGCTGCTTCCTTCTGGGGACCTACAACCTGTGCCAAATTTGCGCCAACCTGTTTCCCTTCAAAGGCCTATCCTGATGCCTATGCACTCGGCACTGGGGCTCAAGGGCGGTGCGACTCTGGCAGGCCACGCCGCAAACGTTGCAAAGGGCTCTTTCGTGATGTCTTGGGCCCCCCCCGGGCAAGTTAAGATGCCCAACTTCCTGCCATAGACACGGCAAGCCGAGCACCTGTTTAATTGGGCCCCCCCCCCCTCCCCCCCCCTCCGCCCCCCCTGCCAGAATAAGAAAGGCAGGGCGCCGCAATCATAAGACCATGGCAATGTAATGCTTCTCTATTAAAAACAATAAATAGGCTGCAGATCCCTGAGGTGCTGTAGCTTCTCAGCTCAGCAAGCAAAACAAGAAGCCTGCCGACAGATCTTGGAACCCCCCGAAAGAATTTCTTTAAACGTGGAGGTATTGGCCCATACCAAAACCCCCGTAATGGAAAGTAGTCTTCCGGCGGGCTTCTCGACAAACAAACTTTCTATAAATGTGGAGGTACTAATGAAACAGGTGCTCGGATTATAGATCATGTGGCGTCGGGTCGCGCAACTCGCTACAACGCTTGCAGACTTGGGGTGTTCGTCACAATCAGGTTCTTTGCAAGTGGGGGTTTGCTCCATTTTTTCTGAGCCGGTGGGGAGCTAAGCCGTTACTCCCTTGTAAACCCGATCGGAGTAAACGAGGTCACACTATGATCTGGTGTGGGGGCCTCGGACGGACATGAACCAAAACCTTACCCTGCGATGATTGGAAAGTTCTTCAGAGGAGTCCCTGAGCAGCCAAATTCTTGCTAACTGAAGTGGCGCACAGGTGGAGGTTTACGCCTAATACTACTGCGTAAACCCCCAGGTCGAGAAGGTAGCCACCCTGCTGATTGTGGCATGCGTAGAATGCTGCAGCTTTTGTTGTCACTGCAGTGCAGGTTGCTGAGACTGTTTCGTGAGTGCTGTGCTTGGCCTGCTTTGCCAAGTCCAACCGACGCACAGTTCTGGAGCTTCCTAGCAGATGCGGATCCGAATCATGATGCTTTGCATGATTTTGGGGTCTGAGGCTTCTGGGCTTCAGGGGTTGAGACTTTGAGGTTGGGGTGTAGGTTGCGGGGTGATCCAAAGAGATCGGCGGCTCAGGGACATTCACGCCGCTACTTGTAAGTGCGCGAAAGCGAGTGATAAGCCATTAAGAGATCCGAATCAAGAGGCCCTGAACCGGCTTTTTGAAGCACATATCAGCCCAGGGCGCAGTGGGCAGCGCAATTAGCTGGTCCATCTACAGCGAAGCCTGGCTCTGATTAGTCTCTGCGACTCGTATGTGGCTCAGTACCGTGTCAGATCAAAGGTGAGTTGATGTTTCTGCGGGTCTAGGATTTTGGGTAACTGTTCATGTACCTGAGCAGTTCTGAAGGATTGGCTGTGGGACACAGATGTTGACACGCTGTCCGGCAAGCAGCCGCCACCGCAGTTGCCCCTTGGCTCCATCCTGGGGCTGCTCTTTGTATCTCTTTGTAAGATCGCGGCAAGGGAAGGTGGGGTCAGCATGGAAGTATCATGCCGAGACCCCAACCAGCCCTGAGCCGACTGAGCCCACTTGCTGAAAGACTTGTCCACAGCAAGGAACCCCCTTTCTAAAGCCTTAAACGGGAGCTGTATCGAAGGCATGGGACGAAGTTTACCTCCAAGGCCAGCACGCTGGAAGCCAGTTCGATTTGAGAATGTTCGGGGCTTCTCACTTCTTGAGGCTTCAGGCCAGCCGAAGTTTCGGGGTTTCGACTCCGGCTTGAGCTGCTTCGGGTGGGCCCTCAGAATTCCCTAAGACCTGTGAGCATTGTGGCCGCAGGGCTCCGGAGTTCAGTGGGAGGAGACTGCCGGTGCTGCGACCCTCCGACGGCACTTCCAGCGCATCCGCAAGCCAGACAATGCCGTCGTAGGGGCTTCGGAGGTCGCAGCTTCTGTTTCCACCTCGAGTGTCGGAATGCCCAGCGTCTCAGGATGGCGCTGGCGCACTTCCTCTACTACCACTCCAAAGGCAGTGATGCCGATTTCATTCTTCAGCCCGCGCCTCGGTTCTCTCTCCGCGGTACTAGCAGTTGCGGCTTAGGTTGCTTGCGGGGGTGGCAACTGCATTGGGGTGGTGCAGGTTGAAGTATCGACTGACAGCCAGCCGACTGTCTCTCCGGACTCTCCTGAAGACCTACGGCGCAGTACCGGCTTCGGCCCATCTCCCAGCCAGATTTTCCTAAAGCACCTCCTTCGAGGCTCTTCAAGTTTTGTCTCTCCAGTGCTCAGGACACACACACATGAAATACACTCAGCCGAGGATCCAAAAGGTTCAAGTGGCACTATTCAAAACCACCTGCCAGACGTCAGAACTCGCCAGTACCACAGGCATTCGAGCCTCTGTTCTACGTGTCTAGTCGAGGTGCGTGGGGGGAATGGCAACCAGTACAATTTGTGCCATGGCCGCAAGGTTTTGAGCTGTTGTTGCTCCCATGCCATGCTTCGCACCCCCAACCCTCATGCGAGGCACAATCCGTATGCCCCGTTCCCTGGTGGATCGGACACTGGCATGGGCTTCACGTATCTACGGATCCTGTGCAGCAGTGAGTTTTCGTTTCTATTGAGCTTGAAACCTTAAAAGCTTGCGCCTGGACAGTCTTTGCTATGCACAGGATGATCCACACCGCAAGCACCGCATGGACGGGGCTACTCATGCTTTATCAAGCCACGGAGGACGACCCAGTCTTTGCGCGGCTTGGCCGGCACAAGTGGACCACCATGTTCGGGCCGACGTGCCGTTCCGTGAAGGTCTGCTAACCCGATGAGGCTGGATGGCGCCCGGGCCTCAGCTGTCAGGACGCGAGGATCACGAAAGAGTCCGAGAAGTGACTATCTAGTGACTCGTGCAAAGCTGGTGCAAGCCCAGTGCAGTCAGGGATGGGATCTGAGGAAGTTCCTGTTGGCGGTGCAGGCTGTCTCCCAGTGCAGGCCCTTTTCAAGGGCATACCGGCATACCTCATTTGACAGAAGCTGCCGTTGCCTGTGTTCTGCTTTGCGAGAGGATCCCCCAGCTGCCGCAATCTCCACCCAGTGCTTGGGGCCCCAATGAGTCACGACTGCTTGTTTCCCTAGGAAGTGTTTCAGGTGTTTTCCTACTTGGCGCTCTGAGCTTCACAAGGTAAGCTCAGAGTGCCTACCTACCTTTGCTACAGTGCTTGCTTGGGCGCGCTATGTGCTCTGTAGTGAATTCGTAAGGCGGGCGTCCAGCCCGAGACGAGAGGGCGCGCTGGTTTTTGTGCAACTCGTGGATTTTTCAAACGAGTTGCGCCAGTTGATTGTCGGCTGTTTCTGCAAAACATAAAGCCAAACTTCCTGTTCCTTTGCAAGAACACGCCAGCGTCGTTTCTTGACTCTGCGTGTGTTGAGGCGAGTCATGTAATCTCGTCAGGCAAATTGCAAAGTGGCCACTTGTCTGAAGATCAGGGTGGCCGCTACCTGCTACCGTCACGTTTGCACAAAGATTGCAATCATCGCGAGAAAATCGTCTGTCGAGCTGGCTTCATCACCGTGGAACGAGCATCACAAAGAAGGTAGAAAGATGTCGCTGTTGAGTTGGAAATAGTTTCAAGCTCATTGTAGCAGCTTTGCAGCTGGAAACCCAAGGCAGTATAGTGCATCTAGTTAAAGTCCCTTTCCCCCGCGCTGAAAGACCGTGACACCCCTCTGCAGGCGTAGTACAGGGCAGAACTTGTGTGGTGCCTCTGTTGCTCAAGAGCATTGGGCGAGTACGACCCGTTTGATAGCTGTACCTCTCAACGAATCTGTTTGCATCTGGAACAAGAGGCATTGAGTCTCCAAACTCTCCGCTCCAGGCTGACGAAGGCCTCCGCATAAATCTTGCCCGGCAAGACGACGCCGCGGGGCAGCCCAGCGTTCCGGTACCTTTTGCGTGCGCGGGCCGCAAAGGGCGTTAGTGGAAGATTTGGGAAACAGCAACAGCAACCAACCATGGGGACCAAATGAACCCTAAAAGGGTTTATGGCTCATATTCCCCTTAACCGGAATTACCGTAGTATAGGGGTAGATGACCCCAATTTTAGGGTTCATTTCTTCCCCAAGGAACAGGCTGCAGCCTGCTGCTGAGGTGCTTGCAGCCTGCAAGATCTCGTTTGAGGCCTCTCCGGCACTGCTTTTGTGCAGGTTTAGGGTTTAGGGTTTAGGGTTTAGGGTTTAGGGTTTAGGGTTTAGGGTTTAGGGTCATGATCTTCAGGGCTTTTGTCACTTGAGCTTCGGTAGTCTTGTCCTGCTATGCCGGGAGATGAAGCCGCGGCTAGTGATCTATTCAGTCGGTGCCCTCGGCTAGGGACATGGCAGCTGCCAAATCCTGCGGGGCGACGAGAGCCCCTTTGCGTTGCTGGAGTGGGAGGCGCTACAGGCCCAGCGAATCCTAAGGCCATACTAAAAAACCACTCCAAAGCCATTCTAAAACCACTCCAAAACCTCTGCACCTTTGCGTCAAGCATCGTAATCCCTTGACACGGAAACCTTTGAAGCTTGTTTTTCTCTCTAGCTCGCTCTCTCTCTCTCTTTCCCTCTCCCTCCTCCCTCCTCTCTTTCTCTTTCTCTTTCTCTTTCTCTTTCTCTTTCTCTTTCTCTTTCTCTTTCTCTTTCTCTTTCTCTTTCTCTTTCTCTTTCTCTTTCTCTTTCTCTTTCTCTTTCTCTTTCTCTTTCTCTTTCTCTTTCTCTTTCTCTTTCTTTCTCTTTCTCTTTCTCTTTTTCTCTTTCTCTTTTTCTCTTTCTCTTTCTCTTTCTCTCTTTCTCTCTCTCTCTCTCTCTCCGGCTAGCTCTCTCGATCTCTCGCTCTCTCTCCCTCTCCCTCCTTCCCTCCCTCGACATATATACATATATAGGAGCAGCGAGGTTCAGCCGCTCGGGTCCGCAGAACAGAGGGTGCTTGATCCGGAGTCGCGCGCGCGTTCTCTTACTCGCAACCGACAATGTTCTGCCTCGGTGCGGACCAGCGGCAAGTCCACACGTGAAGTTTGAGCCAGTGAGATAACCAGGTTCCAGGCGCGATCTGTGCAAGCTTTTGTTGTGCATTTGAGTTGGAGGCGGGCCCTTATCCAGCGAGTTTGTGAAAGCATGCATCTGAAAGCTCGCCAGAACATCTCAAACCCATCCCTGTGCCAACTTTGACTGTCCAGAGTCGGGAATCTTCACCAGTCCATATCAAAAAGGCAACCAATCATGCGACGAGCATGCCGTCAGGGAAACATTGAGATGCAAGATCGGCAAAAAAATTGACCGAGAGAAGAAGACAAGTGTGGATAAGCATTGCTCCTGCTTCTGTTTCTGGCTACCCACATTCCTTTGTTCCCACCTCTTCCGGTGGTGTATGTCTGCTTTCGTGCCTTGCCCCCCTCCTCTCTTGCACCTATCCCTGGCGGTTGTGTCACTTCAGCTTTGACCACCTCTGTGCTAGTTTCGGTTCCTGAGCCCCCCTCCTGCACTTCCTATTTCCCTTTCTCCTTCTGCTTCGTGTCCTTCGCTGCTTGGTTCTTCTTGGCTTTGTTTGCGGTTGCGCTGTTGTTCTCCGCTTCCTTTATGCCTGTTCTTCTTCTGCCCATGGTGTCCGCGAACTTCTCATCTCCGATTCTTGTCCTTTCTTATCTTCCAAGCCCTGTCACTGGCACCTGCCGCTGCCAGCGTAGTGCCAAGCAGACCGATGCGGATGTCCGATTTAGTTTGCGAGCGTTTCCGCGTTCATCAGTTTCAGAGGACTGAAGGCTCCTGCTGTTTCGGGTTCAGCATTTGTTTGAGCCCCAGCTTTCTGTAACTGCAACAGTATGCAGTACCCAGCGCTCATTCATTTTTTGCGTCGTCTGTGTGAACTGTGAGTTTGTGAGGAGTGTTGTGTTTTGCACGTTTTTCCTTTTGCACGTTTTTCCTTTGCACCAACGCAGTGAGTTGGCCTGGGCATAGCAAGAGAAAGAGTCTCATTGAGCCTCCTTCTCTTTCGCTTGTGCAGAGCAGAGCCTGAAGCTGTTGGCCTGTACCAGTTCCCAAAGAAAGCCCCAAGAGGAGTCATGACCATCTGACCTTTGACCCATCCGAAAGCATATGCCTTTGCCAGGCACGGGCGAGCTGGCTTCGATGGAGATCCGTTCCTTCCTCGGGAGCCCGTGTGGCTTATCCAGCATGTGCCAGCCGCTGCTCCTTCTGCGCCCCTCTGAAGGCCGGGCCGGGCAGCTTCGTCCTACGCAGTCGACTGGGCGTGCTGCTGCAGGTCTGGATCTTCAAGTCATGATGTCATTACAGCGGTTGCGCTGAGCCGTGGTGTTTCAGGTGACAGGAGGCTTCGATGGTGTGCGGCTTATCCCCATGCAGCTGATGCCACATAGATCAAGCGTGATCACACGGACCGTGTTGCCATCAAAGGCGAGGACGGTCGGCTTCACGTGCAAGATGCTCGTAAGCAATCCGTGGCAGAGGCGACGCTCTGCAGGCGCGCAGTGGCTGTGAGCCTGTTGCGGGTTTCCGAAAATAGTACCCTTTTGGAAATGCCCTGTTGACTTGTAATTCGAGATGCACCAGGGGAGCCGGAAGCCTGCCCGACACCCTTCACGTCCAGGCACGCCCCGTAGCTTCCACGTTAAGGTGCTTAGGTTCTCGGTTCTGGTGCTGCTGCATATGGCCAGGGAGCTACTTCCGAGCGGCTAGGGATAGACAACACCAACCTTAAGTCCTCAACCCGAATGTCTTGGGGTCAGCTCCTAGTGGCAGCTTCAGGGAGAATTGTGGGGTGTAGTCCATGCTGCGGACTTAGAGCCGGCGAGCCGCGCACGCACTGGCAACCTTTGTGATCTCTCGAGGCTTGTGATTTGTGTGGGTTGGTTTAAGGTTTGAGGCTTAGGGTCTAGGGGTTCGGGGTTTAGGGCTAGGGCCCGCCGTGTTGGATGGATGTTTCCACGTGTAAGAACGGTTCCTGCAGAGAGAAGCCTTGATCGTGCATATTTCCCACAGGCTTTCATCCATCTTGCCATGCGCCAGCACTGAGAGTTCCTGGGGATCCCAAAGCTGTGCACCAGCCCAACAATGGCCAGGGAAAGAATGCTGATGGCGGACCCTTTGTCTGAAGTGATGTGGTCTTTCACTGTCCAGAGACGCTGGCCGGTTGCCAGAACGATGGGCATTGGTCTGGATTTCATAAACAACGATACCAACCAGTATAACTATCACAGCGAACCGCACTTATGCTGATGCGTTTCGTGGCTTGTTGATCTGTGAGAGATGGTTCCAGCCTGGTTGTCCCGGAGCAGCAAAAGGTGGTAATGCTTGCACGTACCTATCCTAAATTCACCCTGAACTATGATTCCTAAACCTAAACCCCTAAACCCCTAAAATCCCCTAAAATCCCCTAAAATCCCCTACAATCCCCTAAAATCCCCTAAAATCCCCTAAAATCCCCTAAAATCCCCTAAACTCCCCTAAACTCCCCTAAACCCCTAAACCTCTAAACCCCTAAACCCCTAAACCCCTTGAACCCCTTAACCCCTTAACCCCTTAACCCCTTAACCCCTTAACCCCTTAACCCCTTAACCCCTTAACCCCTTAACCCCTTAACCCCTTAACCCCTTAACCCCTTAACCCCTTAACCCCTTAAACCCTAATCCCTACCCCCCCTACACCGTAGGGGCAAATAGGTTTGTGTGCACAAGACAATTCTGCGCTTGGGAGGTGGTGAGTTCTGGGGCAACGGACTTGGGCCTTGTCTTGGCGGTTTTGCTGGCAGTGGACCGCCTGCAGGCCTGCGGAGAACCCTAAACCCTAAACCCTAAACCCTAAACCCTAAACCCTAAACCCTAAACCCTAAACCCTAAACCCTAAACCCTAAAGGCTAAACCCTAAACCCTAAAGGCTAAACCCGAAACCCGAAACCCTAAACCCTAAACCCTAAACCCTAAACCCTAAACCCTAAACCCTAAACCCTAAACCCTAAACCCTAAACCCTAAACCCTAAACCCTAAACCCTAAACCCTAAACCCTAAACCCTAAACCCTAAACCCTAAACCCTAAACCCTAAACCCACAGCTTCTGGACAACTATTGTTGGCTCTTGCTGGTTTCATGCGGTGTATGGCGGTGGCAGGGGTTTTGGGCTCAGGGCTGCAAGGGACTCGATGGCTTTGCAGGGGAGCATGTTCTTTTCCACTCACTTTCTTGCTCCCGCCCGCGTCCGCCCGGCGTCCACCCCACGTCTGCTCCGCCCCCTGCCCGCGTCCGGCAGGCCGTCTGTTAAGAGGGTTCATGGGTTTCTTTTAGGTTTTGGGAAGGGAAGAACCGAAATCAAGTCATGACAATGTAACCACAGCCAATGACTCCTATGAGTCTAGGCTCGCTTGGGCTTGGAAGGGAAACACCGAAAACAAGTCATGACAATAGCGCCAATGTCAATGACTCAAAATCAGGATCTTCTAGTTTGCGAAGGGAAGGACTGCAAACAAGTCATGGCTAGCCAATGCCAATGACTGACAGGACTGAGGCTCATTTTAACGCCGAAAACAAGTCACGACAATGTCCACGATTCAAAATAACAAGACTCCTGGAAGTTTCCAACAGGCACTCAGTCAATGCGGTCTCCGAGCAGAAGCGGAGTGGGAATTGCAGGACCACAGGAGACAAGGGCAAAGCTTTGCGCCGCAGAACACACACGCCCCCTAGGAAACAGAGAAAAAAAAAGTTTCTCCGATTCATACGAGGAGAATGCATGTCGAAAGCAAAACAGACAATAAAGAGGATTTCGCCGTTGTCACGCGCGTAGACAGCTGGGATCTTGCAGCGTCTGGCTTTTCCGGGCTGGAGTTCAAGGTCGACGCAGAGAGAAAGTACTAACAGTCCTTAATCGGGATTTTAGTACCCCCATTGTAATTAATCCCTATAATTAAGGACCGTAACCTGCCAGGCTTCCAGGACTTCTTCGTGAGATGGCTTGCGATGACCGAGAGATGGCTTGTGATGACCGAGTGGGCCATCCGGTTTCTCTAAGAAATTTTCCTTCGTGGAGGCCCCGGGGGCCAGGCACGCCCGAGTTGCATGCGATTGCCGTTGCATTTGCAAGACCCCCATCAGCTGTAGTTGTGAAGACTGAGATATGCCACCTCTACAGCGATGGCCGCTTCTCGATTCGTGCGGAAACAAGGAAGTACCGACGGTGTGCAAGGGGCTAGTGTGCCGACCGTCCTTGTGCTGTTGCCACGTGGCGAGTAGCTTGGCTTGGAAGGGCTCAAGATGCGCCATTGGGCGCATGTGTGCGTGTGTGAAGTTCATGCTAAAGTTGTAAAAGGTCATCCTCCTGAATCCTCCTGCGCACCGAAGCCGCTTGCTTGGAAGCATGCCAGGCTGTAGTTTCGGTCATACTGCGCTCCGCAGCTGTTTTTGCTACGCCAACAGCAGCAGCTTCAGAAAACGTCAGGCAGTGACCCTTCCAAACTCTACAGGGCCTCAGCCTACCCCAAAACCCAGGCGTTGACCCCTCAGCCGCAAAACCCCAATCTCTACAAAGCATGGTCCCCAAGCCCTAAACCCTAAACCCTAAACCCTAAACCCTAAACCCTAAACCCTAAACCCTAAACCCTAAACCCTAAACCCTGAAGAGGATCCCAGTCCTGCGATGGGATGAGCAGAAGCGACGTTAGCCACGATGCTGGAGCCGGTGCCGTTTCGGTGTCTGGCCGTAGCCTTATTGCAGGCTTCGAGGGCATACCTTGGGATGTTCCCCCTTCTTCGAACAGCCCTTACTAGGGATTCTAGCAGGGGGGGTACTATAGTCCCTATTGAGGACTGTTAGTATGAGGGGGAACATCCCAGGGCATACGAGGTCCGAAGGTTCTCAACATACCTACCTGTCCTGGAAAAATGGATGGATTCCCTATGTTAATCACTGGTGCAGTGCAAGTTTGGTGCCGCCAGTACCCGTGGCAAATAGCTTTATTGAGGTTCCCGCCGAAGCAGCAGAGCTCTTTGTGGGAGAGGATGGCATGGCGGTCAGGCGCTGAGGTCCCTGAACCAAGGCCCAGAGCCCAAAGTAGGATTCACACGGAGATTACGGGGTTTGGGGTTTAGGGTTTCGGGTTTAGGGTTTAGGGTGTTTTGCTGCAACTGCTATTCCTGCTACAACTGCTACTGCCGCTCCTGTCCGAGGAGTAGCACATGAGCACATTGGTAGGCTTACTAATGCTCCCACCAGTACTACTTTTACTTCTTCTGCTTCTACTGTTCATGCTCTTCCTCGTACTCGTGCTTGTACTCTTACGTGTACTCGTACTTGTACTCGTACTTGTACTCGTACTTGTACTCGTACTTGTACTCGTACTTGTATTCGTACTTGTACTCGTACTTGTACTGTACTTAGTGTAGTTCCTTGAAAAGAAGGTAAACCAGCATAATGACTATAATTCTTACTGCTTGTACTACTTTTTACCACGCTTCATACTTTTACCATGCAGGTTGCGAACTGGCGTCTCAGTAGGGTCTTGTAAAGCCTGCCTGTGTCGAAGGTTTAGGGTTTAGGATTTAGGGTTTAGGGTTTAGGGTAAAGGCAGAAAGGGGTCTTAAGGAGTAAGGCTGCTAGGTGCTCTCAAATCTCAGGCGTTTCAGGCACTTGACGGTTTAAGGTTTTTAGATGGACCTGCTCGATTCTTGTGTTCCTCTCGTTTTCCGACTCATGCCGGCTTGGGCCAGCTCAACAAAGTATCCTCCCAGCCCAGGTTTTGTTGGCAAGCATAAGGATTGAAGTGGCTTGAATTGGGGAAAGGCATCTTGGTTCTCTGAGGTTGGACGAGTGGCTCACGCGCATGCCACTTAGAGGGACATGCTGTACGAACCTTCCTTCATACATCAGCTGATTCGTGGCGGGGGCCTGCACTTCAGGTCCGGGGCCAACATCTCCGTGTCCGATGCTGCTTGCCGGTCTATGGATTAAGGTTTAGCTTTTAGGGTTCTTTTTCTGTTTTGCAGCTCTGTGGACTTCGCGGCTCGTGGGTTTGAGGATGGAAACACCCCTCCATCTCTGACCGATCGGATTGTGACGGTCCGGGGTACCCAGCAGGCGCAACAGGCGCATGATGGGCCAAGCGTCATGTGAGTTGAGTGGGGCGAGTGTATGTATGTATGGCAGGCGGCCTGTCGGCTGATTATCGAGCGCTTCTACGAAGCCCAGAAGGTGACATGCAAGCAGTAGTGCCCAGTCATTCATGCGAGGACCGCGAGGGTGTGAGAGCCATCATACTTCAGATCTGCTGACGCTAGGTGCAAGGTGAAGACATTGGTGTCTTCATTCTGCTAGTGCCCTCTGCGCTGGCCACTACCATGGGCTCAGATGGCACCTTGCTTGCAATCTCCGAACCGTTAGTCCATGTTGGCACGAGCACTCATGGAACCTAAACCCTAAACCCTAAACCCTCAACCCTAAACCCTAAACCCTGTGCGGCTGGTAAGGAACTCTCAGCAAAATTATGGAGCTATCGGGCGCTGAGCTTGCTGTCCAGGTGCCGATGTCAGCAGAACTCTGTCACCTTTTACAGCTTGTTTCAGTTTCGCGTCTGTTCCACAAGTTGGTGCTTCCCAGATCTTCCAAAACCCCCTTAACTAAGGTATATACCCTAGTTCATAATAAGGATCCTTAGTATAAATGAGGGTATATTCCTTAGTTAAGGGGTTTTGGAAGATCTGGGTTCCAGTGCAGTGGGGGGTAGGAAGCCATCACTGGAACCGAAGACCGGCCAGTTCGAATCGTTGCCCCGGCGGTCTTTGTGCCCAACTTCGAGCCTTCGGTCTTTGGCCTTCGGGGTTGTTGAAGCTGACATCCCCCTGAACCCTCAACCCTAAACCCTAAACCCTGAACCCTGAACCCTGAACCCTGAACCCTTAACCCTGAACCCTAAACCCTAAACCCTAAACCCTCAACCCTGAACCCTGAACCCTGAACCCTGAACCCTAAAGCCAGGTGGGCAGTTTCGAGGCAACGGTGTTAGCCGCCACGCGTCTCGGCGCCTGGGTCCAGGCAGGCTGGGGGTCCCTTCACGCCCACTCCCTAAACCCGAAACACTAAACCCTAACCCTAAACCCTAAACCCTAAACCCTAAACCCTAAACCCTAAACCCTACTCCCTACTCCCTTCTGGGGTTTGGGCAGTTCCGGTGTGTGGATTTAGCAGTGTTTCGCAAAGAGGTGCACCGTTTCCCAGGCTTTTCGGGCCGGGCGACCCTTCTTTAGTGCACTCTTGGCTTAGAGATTCGGCTGGAGGGCGACTTTGCCAGAGGTTGCACAGCTCCCCTCATGCTTCGGAGCTGCCAGGTCCTAACTTGGAGGGCTGCGCAGGCCTCCAACGACTCGGCAGGTCCTCCTGAAAATGAGGCAGTCAGGGAAACATCCTGGAAATTGAGCCTTGAAGTTTTCGGCGTGTCTGATGTGAAGGAGGGCTGCCACGTCGTCGCCGAGGACGTTCCAAGCATGCACCAACATGGATCAGGCCTTTTGGTGGTGTCCTGCAAAGAGCTGTCGCCCCCTTATTGACGTTGTTGGGAGGTGTCCCGACAGCTGCGGACAGTCAGCCTGACCCCGAGCAGCCGGACGCTGAAGAGCCAGCGACCGGGCTTCTCGACACTGAGCCACATCCAGAGCAGCCAGACGCAGAGCAGCCAAGCACAGAGCAGCCGAACACGGAGCAGCAAGAAGCAGAGCTGCCCGCGGCAGAGCAGCCTGAAGAGGAGCAGCCGGAAGCAGAGCAGCCCTCAGCACAGCAACTCCACTCAGAGATGCAAGGCGGAGAGCAGCCAGAAGAGCAGCTCGATGAGCAGCCTGATGTCCACCCGCATGCCGGGCTTGCGCGGCAGCCTGAAGAGCAGCCTGATGAGGAGGAGCCAGCCGAGGTGTGAGGTTCTGCAGAACATGCTATAACCTCTTGTCATATCTTGTCATTGCACTGGTGCGAAGCCCTGAGTGCTGGGACCATGTAGCTCTGACTCGGCTTGGGAGGGTGAAGTGGCGGAGCCTTCTGAGACGCGGCAGGGCGCTGAGCTCCTTGACCTCGCGTCCTGGTGCTGAAGTTTGTTGAAGGGTTACCTGCCAAGTTCCCAGGCTCGGGGAGCTGGTCCAAACCGCAGGGCCGGAGGAGGCAGTCTTTGGGCTCCCCGTATAGGATGGGCCTTGCACAAGCAATTCCCATCGCAAGATCGATTTTCGGACGTCTGACAGACTGGAGATGCCGAGGTCTCGCCCAGACCAGATGCCTCGAGCCCCGATGCAGAGGTTCGGGGTTACTGGGGGGTGCTGCGTGCCATTGGGCGACGTAAGCTGCTTCTGCGTGCGTGAGTGTGCGTGAGACCGTGCCTGCGCGCGTGCATCGGCTCGCGGTTTGCAGGAGATATCGTCGCCCGAGCCTGCGGCTGGGTCCAATTTTCATTCCCCGTCGCGAAGGAGCAGACCTTGCAAACTCCAGCCAAGCCTGCGACACAGTTCGAGGGCTGGTACACTTTGTAAAGGAACATGCCAGAGAGTGCTCGCTGCACCCCTGCTGCGTGCCAATGCAGGAGCTCAGCGCTACCGTGCAGGCAGGGTGTTTAGTCCAACGCCCCCGCTGATGTTGTGAGTTGAAGCCCTCGAGAGTTCGATGAACGACGCGTTGCCCTTTCAAGGTGCCTGGCTCCCGCCCACGCTGTCGACCTGTTGATAGGAGCGGTCCACAGCACCTTTTTGTTTTATCTTCCGTTTTTCCTGCATGACATGCTGGTTCGTTGGCAGCTTCATGCGTGTTGCCCTGACTGAGGCTTCGATGGCGAGGGTGCCGCAGAAGTGCTGCAGAAAACAGGGGCGCACATCTCTGTCCTGGATGAAGAGGTGACATTGTCCCCGTGTGTGTGTGTGTGTCGACACTCATGCGAAGGGATGATGAGGTCATTGGCAGTTCCCAGCTTTAGAAGTCTTGTCAGGATATCCCAGAATCCCTCAGCGATCAAATCGTGGTCATTGAGGGCGACTTGCAGGGACAGGCCCTGAACATTTTGTTGTTCATCTATGTTCATTTTTGAAGCCTCTCACAGGCCTCATCATCACTGCACGCGTCAGGTGCTGGCGTCCCGGTGCGTGGTAGAGACGCTCTTCCAGGCATGTCTGATCCGCAGAAGTAACGATGCGGCAACCTGCCACACATGCTGAGCGGCCGCGGCTTGAATGAAAAGCAGGTTCAGGGAATCGGCGACAAGGAGCAAGGTCTCTTTGTGATGCTGGTCCCAGCTTCTCACTACGGTGCTGTGGCTGAGAAGGCAGGGCTTCTAAGGGCCTCCAAAGGCCCAACAGAGAAAAACTCACGGGAATCGCCTTTCTTTTTAGGGGGGGGGGGGGTGTTTGCGCAGGCGAGACCCTGTTTGCAATTCAGAACGAGAACCACACAACAAAAAAGCCAAGCCCTTTGGCCTGCAAAGCCGCCTCAATAAGCTCGGGTTCTGTGGACGGAGATAGAATCTGATCTCGTGCACCCAGCACAGTCTAGGAGTGGAAACCTGGGAAGCCAAGCTATACCCTGAAGATCTTCGAACCCAGGCGCATCTCCAATGGAACGCATTGGCCGGCAAAGGAGTAACAGCAAAGTCCGGTTTTGTTTTTGCAGGGAGGAGCATAAGCGAAAGCTCATCTGAATAGCCACAGCCGAACAAGAGTACCTGGACGACCAGGAAATCAACGATAAGAAAGCCAAAATCAAAGGAGGGCAGAGAAGAGGGCCGGCCAATCGTTTACTTGCCGGGGGGCTCTTCTTTTCCATGCTGCGTGCGCGCCACACCCTTTGGGGATCATCCGATGCAATTTGAACGATGCTGAGATTAGCATGGCGCCTTCTCAAGGATGACACGCACAAATCGAGAACTGTACCGAGTTTGCTTTCTGATCTCTTGAACATGGCCCCCCGCTTGCAAAACCTGGTTCTCCACACATCTCCACACGTCTCCACGCATCTCCACACATCTCCACACCTCTCCACACCTTTCACACCTTCCACGCTCGCGCTTGCCTGGCAATATGTTCCGGGGCAAGGGTGATGCTCCTATCGCAGTGGACTGCTCGGCAGTCCAGGCAAAGCTCTTGCATAACAAATCGCGCAGTTCTGTCCACTTGACATGCATGCACCCGGCGCTTTGATTTCCCAAGAAGATAAGAAATCCCACAAGAAGCCCCGCAGCACAACAGCAGCCGCGAGCAGCACTGTGGAAAGGCATCGACAAGAGGAATGAACGTGGAACACTGGATGGCCGATAAGCCAGATAAGAGCCTAAGACATCTGGGATGGCGCTCGTTTTTCAGTTCCAGGCTCAAGGTGCATCTGCATGCTGGATGCCCGCGTCCGTACATGCAGACATGGGGACCCTTTTCCCAGAAGGGGCCCAAGCCCCGCGCTCAATGCGGAAAGGAAACCCGAAATGCCGAGCCTTCACCGAAGGTTCCTGAAACCCAAAAACCCTAAACCTAAACCCTATACCCTATACCCTAAACTTAAACGACAAATCCGAGAGAGGGGACCCAGACCCAGCCCCGAGTTCACCCTGAAGGTGACGGCGCTAAGTGAGCAAACAGGGGCGGACCTCGTCCTTGAGGAGGAGCAGATGCGCGACTCGGTGTCTGTATGTGTGTGTGTGTGTGTGTGTGAATAGGGTGTAAATGAATCTGAAGCGCTGAGTTTTCCATGTACTCAAGGCCTGACACACACACACACAGACACCTCGTGAAGAGAGAATGCGTCAAGCAGGAGGAGATTGAAGGTCTGGAGGAGCTCGGCGTTGCTTTTGGCTTGGGCTTGATGTCATCATTACCTGGGCTTTGGGGGGCTGTTCACTGGGAACCCTGAACCCAACAGCCCGCACCCAAGCATCCTGATTGGATGGCGCCCATCCGTGCATGTGGGATTTTTGTCACAGGTGGCAGCAAGCGCCAGGTCATGAATCCGTGTGACATGTTCGTAGAAATCTCACCATGGCTGAAGCAAAGTAGCATTGCAAGAATATGGCAGTATAAGGCGGCCGATGCTGTCTTGCCACCTAGTACGCTGCCAGGACCATCCGTTGCAGATCGTGGGCCCCGTCATGGAGCCGAGCTGACAGAATTCGACGTATCAGCTACCATCACAAGCTAAGTCATGAAAGCCATGGTCATGTTCAGAAGCCATATCGCATGCAAACCCCTTCTTTCTGTTTCAAGGTTTGTTTTGCTTCCAGGCGACAACTCTTCGCGCAAGTGGCGGGGTCATTCACGGCCTCCCATCAGCCGCCATCTGGAATTTTATGAAATTCTAGTCCCATGAAATCTCCCTTCACACATCATACCTTGGGATGTTCCCCCTTAGACTAACAGTCCTTAAGAGGGGTTGTAGTGCCCTCGATGAGAATGTTAACGCTATGTGAGCCGCCTCGGATTGAGCTTCTGTAACGAGCAACTGGGGGGCGGGGGCGGGGTGGGGGGGAGGGCCGGGGGGGGGGCAGTTGGGGGGGGGGGGGGGGGGGGGGGGGGCCCTCTGGCTGATCCCGATGCAAGGTCTGGTCTGCTGCTAGGGAATATACCCATTTTAGGCCAAAAGGTGCTGCCCACACCTGCGGCCCAGGCCTCGGCGGGTCCCTATTAAGAACTTAGTATAAAGGGGAACATCCGTGGAGTTTGAGTGAAGGCAAATGGTAACGCAAGTAAAGCAAGTAGTGACAGTGTGCAGCGTCCTGGACACTCCAAAACGCCAGGTGCACCACGGCGGCTTACCGGATCCTTCGGGTTCTTCAGGAGATGTCCCGAGACGTTTAGGGCGACGTTTTAGGGGCTTGGGGCATCTGCGGGCTTTTTGTGGAAGGCCAGGGATGTCTTTTCATCTCCAAATGTTTTTTTTTGACAGCCCGAAGTACAGGATGTGGATGGCGATCCTGTCCTGCCCTCATCTTCCTGCGAAGCTTACGGCCTACACTCGGAAAGTTGCAAAGCATAGCATGGTTGTGCAACGTTGCGCAAAGGCTGCCGATGATTCTCCGCTCTTCCAGAAGCTCCGAGAGCTGAGCTCGCCTACGGCAGTGCGAATGCTGGGTGCTTAGTTCTACGGAGGTCCAGAACTTGGGAGAAGAAGAGGACTGTTGGGTAGGGGAGTCAGGAAGCAGCCGTTCCAAAGCCGAGGTGGTCTGGCCGGAATGACGGCGAGGCTGGCAAGGCAGCCCTTACCTGGAACCACACAGCTTGGGCAGCTTGGGAGTTGAGGGCTTATAGGGCCTTATAGGGCCTTATAGGGCCTTATAGGGCCTTCTAGGGCAAGATGTTCCAAAGCTCAAGGTGTGTCAAAACTATTCCTGTGCATCGAAGCGCGTTCAGCGAGAATGACCGATCCATACAGACGTGTCTTGCGTGGGCAAGGGCCTTTCATGCCCGTTTGTGATTGTCGAGCGGCATGATGTGAACCCTGAGACGTCTCCACCAATGGAAGGAGCGTCCGAAGCTGTCGCTGTCACGCCTCTCCTCGCCCCTGCCGATGAATGGCAGCAAGGGCAAGGGCAGACAGGCCTCTTCTTTGATGTTTGTTTGCTGATCGGCCTCCGCAGATGAAGATGCTGCATGTACTCGCCTGGGCCAGATGTCTCTCCAGTTTGCAGTGCCTGCTGGAGTTGCTGCCTGGATTGTGGGTCGCAAGGGCCAGCCACATGACTGCAGAAGCCGAACGAAGTCACACTTCAGTGAGATTCACCTGCTTCCCAGCTTGCCTCACCAAAAGGTCCATTAACTCGATACGCACCCAAAGTGGAGCCAGCATTGACGCCTGCTTCCCAGCATCATGCATGGACTGTCACAAGCCGAAAACACCTAGATTCAGCTACTTGGAGTAGTGACACTTTTGGTGCACCCGGAGGTCTCCAAAGAGGGCGCACGCTACCGGGTCATTGACATCCATGGTGCGGAGCAGGTGCACTTTCAGATGTGGCCTGATGTGGTCTAGGGCCGAAGCCAGGGTTGGAATGCTCTCAGGCACTGATGGCCGCCATTGAGATGGTGGTGGGGCAGGTGAGGCTGCACCTAGTGTTGCAAGGAGCATGGCGGGAGAGCTGTGAGGCCGCATCACTCCCAGATGGATGGACTGGGTCAATCCGGCGGCTTGGTAGCAAAATGTAGCAACGATGGCTAGCTCGGTTTTGGCTGGCTCGTGCAACCACACTGTGGCCGAGGATAGTGCTGCCAGCAGGCGACGCCCGTGCTCTTGATGTCGATCATGTCGCGGTGCAAACAAGACTGTTGAAGGCACTGCTGGCTACATCATCGGCCGAGGTGGCGAGGCCCGCGGAAGTTGCCACAAAGCCTTTCAAAGGCCAAGAAGGCATCTCGGCTGCTGAAGGCCATCAAAGAACTCCGCCGCACCTCGGGTGCTGAGCTTGACTTGGATCAGCTCCATGCAGGTCTGCTCCTCTGCTTCACGCAACAAGCCAATTAGCCGTGAATTCCCTTTACACGGAGTTCCAGCATGTTGCACGGTTGCCACAAAGCTGTCATGCATTTTTCCTTGTACCGAGAAATTGGGCATGCTTGTGATAGGCGTCGAACAAATGCTGGTCATCAGCGGCGACCTTGAGGCAATGCTAGGGCACACCGTCTGTTCCGACAGATCGTGCAAGGTCGGAGGCACTCAGAGGCACCGAGCAGTCGAATCAGCTCTGCAGGTCATTGTCGAAGCAGCTCAGATGGTGGCTGGTCGGATAGCGGAAGTGCGGTGCATACTATGTGCATACCAGGTGTTTCAGTTTTCAGCGTGCAGCACTGAGTCCGTCCTTCTTAAAGAACCTGAAGTTGTAGCAGTGTGGCCACAGTGCAGCCATCCGGGTGCAGGGGTCTAGTAGCTTTCCAACCAACGCAAATTTGATTAAGTTTTCGTCGCAGCTTGTTCACATCAAGCCGCCCTTTCAATTCGATTTCTTTGGTGCCTACCGGGCCCTTTCCCCAGATACTGGTACGGTGCAGACTCACAGCACATCCTGATTGGGCATCTTTTCTAAAACCGCTTGGCACAGGCATGGCCTCTGTCAATCTGACGATCAAGCCCGTCCAGGCAGGGTGTGGAGCTTCAAATGCTTTGTGCCGTTTTGTCACCTTGGCCTTGGCCCTAGGCGCCCGCTGGCGCCAATGCGGGCGAATTTCAACTCAGCATTGACACCACAGCTACCGTAGAGGAGCTGAAGGAGAAGGCTGGAAACTGAATGTCCTGGGGACACTCCAAGAAAAGCAGGGCGTGCGTCACACGAGGTCTCAGCGCAAGTGAATATCCCAGCGAAGAGCATTCGCTTGGTGTGCGTGGGACGCATTTGGCAGGACGCGCCCTGCATGATCTCAATGTCATGGCATGGCGATGGTTTTGGCAGCATGTGCAGCATACAGGATGCTCAGACTGTCGGATCCTACGAACCCAAAGACGGAGTTGTGGTGCACTGTCTAAACAACCCGTCCGGCACTCAAGTTTGTCGCGAAGTCAATGCGATTTCTTGCTTTGAACGTAGAGGTCTTGCTTCCATTAGCCAGGAGGTAGGCATCATGAGACAGTCTAAATGCTTGGTTGCCTGGATTTCCACAGAGGGAACGATTCTCACGCATGAAGGCTGGAGAGCACCAGTTTCCCTGACATGGATCATGTAAGACAAGAGCTATCTTGTTATCTTACGTCAAGGCGTGGTTGACTGCCACACCTTAACTTGCTGGTACAGTCTTCAGAAGCAGCTTTTCGCTCGCAGCCTAGATTGGTGGACTCCTTTGGACTGGAGTTTACGAACACATCCGAAATTGGATGCTTTAAAGTTTCAGGAGCTGCCACACTCCTTATAGACTAAACAGAGCCTGTGCTGCTTGCTGGAGCTGAGTTGGTCCTGTCTGGTCCTTTGGTCCTGTTTTGCTTGCGAAAGGAATGTAGCGACTCATGTGTAGACTTCACCTCTTCGGCCCTGAAGTTACAAAGTGCTGACCGGCCGCTATCACTTCATTGCGGAATACGGAATGTGGGGCCCCAGTTCGATCATTGTGCTCCGCCCCGCCCTTCAAGTCGCGATTCAGGTTTTTGCTTCGGGTCGTGTCTCGTCAAGTGCTCGCCCTGATGTCTCCTGTCTCGTGCCGTGCATCGTCGTTCCAAGTGCCGTCATGTGCTGCGGCTCGTACCTTCTCTCATGTCGTTGCCCCTCGTGTCCAAATCTGCGTAGTGTTTGGCAGTGCTCATCGCCTGCGGGGCTCGACATACCCATGTCTACCCCATTCAACCAAATCCAATCCTACCAGAGACCCTATATCCCCGTATACATTTGAGCTCTTGAACCGGAAGCCACCCAGGCAGAGGGATGCCCCGCCAGCTGCCAGCCAGGCTTTGGCCGGGGACGCAGTCATCTTTTTTGAACTGAAGCGTCCGCCACTTGTCGTAGCATTCTCTTGAGACCGGGACTCATCTCGATCTGGGGAGGTGAGGCGAGCAATTTATGTCTGCACTGTAGTACATGGGTTTGGAGAGCTGCTTCTATTGGTGCAGTGTTCCAAAGCCGTTGCATATTCAGTAACTCATGATGTTCATGGAAGAACAGTGGCCCCCCCCCCCCACTGGAAACTGTCGGACACCATCGGAAGCAGTCCTGAATGGCGGAGCTCGGCCCAGGCGCCAGCAAACCCCATGGCCCAAATGATGGGCGCGGCGCCTGCGCCACAGGCGAACTCAGGTGCAGCCCCAACCATGTAAGGGTTTAGGGTTTCGGGTCAAGTGTGACTCTCCCAGTACGTTTTGGGCTTTGCTGCTTAAGTGCAGGGGTTTCTGATGAGCCAGCTCTTGCGATTGCGAGAGCCGTCCATAGCTGAAGCGATGGGAGCGGCTCTTTTTTTAGATTTGTCAACGGCCCTTCCGTTGCCAAACCTTGCCGCATGGAGTGTGTTTTGAGGATTTTTGAGGTTTAATGTTCAGGGAAAGGTCAACCGGATAATTCCACAAGGCATGAGGTTCACTTTGAAGCCCAAACCAACTCAACCCTCTGCTTTCGATGTGGCGAGGGGCTGCCCTCAGCTGCCGCAGGTGATCCGTTTTCCCAGATGATGGTCCCGCGCTGAGGGGAGCACCCTGGTAGGTTGGGTCGATGCATGTCGAGGGTCTCAGATGAGATGGGAAGGTCCGTTTGTAAGCTTCTTGAGCAGAGGGTCCAAGTCGAGGCCCAGACCCAGCAGCAGATGATGCAGAATCCAGAGATGATGTGGGGAGCCAACGTGAAGCGTCCTCTCAGCGTCCCCTGTCTCATCACTCTTTCATGTCCTGAAGTTCTGAAGAACACCGAGGCAGCAGCTGATGAACTCGCCGATGGTTCAGCAGATGATGAGCAATCCGGAAGTTTTGAGGTGGAGCTCTCAAGTCCGTTCGCGGCCTCTACCAATCCTGACAATCACTCATGGCCCCGTGCAGGGCAATGATGCGCATGAACCCACAGTTGAACGAGCTGATGGAGTCGCGACCAGAGCGCACAGCCTGCAAGCAGACGTCTCCATGCATCATGCCGCGTGCCCTCACTCCAACTGAATCGCTTCCGAACTGCGCATCATGAACGGCACATTCTGGTTTCTACTTACCCTACATGGCTCAAAGTGAATAACGTGAACGAGTTGCTCAGGATCGCCAGAATGTTGGAGGATCCCGAGGCGCAGATGGGTTTCTGCAGCACGCTGTCAGAGCACGACTCGAGTCTTGTGCATCCTTGCGCAGTTGCTCCAGCAGTCGATGCGCATGGTTGCCAATCCATCGCTCATGCGAGAAATGACCAGGACCGCCACCTAAGTGTGACTAAGATCTGAGATCTGGGGGAACCTTAGGGGGGTTTACGAAAATAGGGGACCCCCAATATAGATTTTCAAAGAGTAGGATCCCCTTGTAATAAGGACCCCAGTTAGGTACCCCTAATGTCGGAAACCCCCTTGATGCTGTCTCTTTGCTGCTTGCAGGAATGCAGACCGCGCCCTGGGCCAGCTGGATGCCATGCCGGGTGGCCACAACGCGCTGGTCGCGGCCTTGAAGCGCGCGTAGCTTCAGCATCTTCATGCAAGTTGTCCATCAGTATGGTCCAGTATGGTTCGCGCAGGCTTCAATATAAATCAACGGATTTTCGTGGCTTCTCTGCCGGGTAGACATGCTGCCGCATAGATGGCCCTAGGCATGGACTCCAAGAAGCCTTATGCTGAGGTGCGCGCCCACGAAGAGTTTGCCGACCCTCTTTTTGAGGCCATGTCGGGAGGCCGCTCTCGGGCTTGTCCGTGCTGACGTCAATGCAATGACACTGACAATTCGATTGACGTGGTGCCCTTCCGAGCTTTGCAAGGAGGGAGCAGCGCAAGCGGCGGGAATGCGACAACGCAGCAAGCTGAGCGATTATCTCGTCCGCTCAGACGAAAAGCTCATCTTTTTGTCACTGAGGGTCGACTACTCGCAGGATACCAGTGCTGGACCTAACAGCGAGGCATCCGCACGGTGTCCTGTGACTGCCCTGCTCTGCCCTGCTCGTTCGCTCTCTCCGATGATCCGAATATCTTCGAGTGCATAGGCGCTCCCGAACCCTTGGGGCCCATCGCCTGCGAGCACTCCCGCAGCGACCCCTGCGCCAGGAACCTAAATAAAGTCAGTTGGTGCTTCTGTGTGCTTCTCCCAGTGCTCTCTGGCTTTTGTGATGTTTCGTCCAGGCCAGCTGCAGCCCCCGCCAATCCGCTAGGTGGTCTTGGCGGCATGGGCATGGGCGGCATGGGCGGCATGGGCGGCATGGGTGGCATGGGCGGCATGGGCGGCGGTTTAGGTGCGATGGGCGGTCTGGGTGGTTTGGGAGGCCTGGGAGGCTTGGGGGGTCTGGGGGGCTTGGGTGGCTTGGGGGGGTTGGGCGGCATGGCCCCTCCCGGAGCAGCTGGTGCCACTGCACCCGGGGCAGCGGGGGCCCCTGGAGCTGGTGCAACTGGAGCTCCCATGAACATGATGCAGCAGATGAAGCCCGGCTGCATTGGCAACCGCTCTAGCAGACTCTAGCCTTCAGTGCCGTTTGCAGGGCTTCTGAGATTGCCGAACAGCCAAGGATGAGCAACCCTGCACAGATGCAGGCCATGATGCGCCTGTCACAACAGTGTCCTGGTCATGTTGGAGCATATCTGCATCCGCAGCCTAGAGACTCTACCGTTTGGCTTGTGCATTGGCTCTGCAGCCCAAGGTTGTTCGCTCCACAGGCTGCAGCGACTCCAGTCACACCGGCAGCCACACCGGCGGCCACACCGGCAGCCACACCGGCGGCCACACCCGCCGCAACAGCCACAGCAACTCCTGCAACAGCTCCGGAGTCGGGTGCTGAGGGCAACGCCGGCGCCCAAACAGCTGAGACGCCAGCCCCGGCCGCTCCCACAGCGCCGGAAGTGCCGGCCGCTCCGGCGAACCCCCTAGCTGCCCTCTTCGGAGGCCTGAGCCCTGGTGCCTCGAAACGGACGCTCCCACAAGCGAGCACTTACAATGATTGCAGTAGATATTGCAGTTAAAATGAACTTAAACCGATACAAATCCAAAACGCCTCCGGATCTGACATGACCCGACAGCGCGACGCATGTTGTCAAATCTGTCAAGGTCCCTTGCAGCCTCCTGCAACCGGCCAGGCCACAGGGTTACAGGAGTGTTACAGGGTTGCAGCGCTCGGGGGCATTGGTTTTCCTAATCCTCTTCGTAATTTTAACGCTACGCGACCCGCCTCGGCCCGGCCCAGCGCATCCGCGTGAGCATGGTGATTCCGCAGCGCCCAAGTCGCTGGACCCCAAGCAATAAGCTTAGGGCTCAAGGTTCACAAATCCGGGTGTGCCCTCTTTTTCTGCTTGGCCTGAGCAATCGGACATGCACAATGAATCTACTACCACATTTTGTTCTTATGTTCTGGCAGTTTATTTAACCACTTGCTTTATTTTGAAGAAGTCTGTTTGCAGATCAGAAGCCCTTTCGAAATGCAGTTGAGGGCGGACTGTCAAGACAAGACTTTACTTCCTTCCTACTGGTAGCACTCTTAGATTCAGTTGTCCATGACATCGAACTCAAGGGCCTGTGGCCTAATGGATTGGTCTTCGGAACCAAAGATTGCAGGCCAGCCTCGGGGGCAAGGGGGGGGGCAGGGGGGGGGGGGGGGGGGGGAGGTAGGGGGGGGTGGGGGGGGAAGGGGGGGGTAGGGGGGGGGGGGGGGGGGGGGGGTAGGGGTGGTGGAGGGGTCTGACAACCTATACACCTCCGGCCCGAGGCCTCGGCGGATTAAATTAGACAGATTTGAAACGGTGAAACGGAGGTTTTCCTTTGGAGTCGAGGTCGGATTTCTTGTTTCATCATACATGAAATGAAGGTTTGGCGGGCAGCGCAGTAAAATTTCCTGTTAAAATGGAGAGGAAGCTCTTCGGGCCACGCGCTCGTAAGAAGCAAAGCGAACAAAAATGCCAGCATCGCTGCAAAAGCAAAAGCCGTGCCCCAACATCCGCAACGCAGCCACACAGAAAGAACACCCACTCCACATCCACAGTGAAGCAGGCTCTCGGTTTCCAAGATCCGCAATCTCTGCTGCTGGCTGTCTCAACTCGTCCCAGCACCTTGATCCGTGACCCATAAACGGTCAACCCTGTCCCCCTAGCACTTCGCTCTCGGCAGGCTCCCCCGGCGAATCCCTTCGCCGCGATGTCTCAGCAGATGCCCTTTAGACGCAGGGGTGAGCCCTAAACCCTATACCCTATACCCTAAACCCTAAACCCTAGACCCTAAACCTTGAACCCTAAACCCTAAACCCTACACCCTACACCCTAAACCTAAACCCTAAACCTAAACCCTAAACCTTAAACCCTATGTGTTTCATGTTTGGCATCCGGGCACTGCAAGTTGATGCTTGCAGTTTTTGGGGGAGGTCCTCTGGAGTGGCATTGTGGAAGCTTCTCACGACCCAGACCCAAATCCCTAACCCCCGAGCCCTAAACCCTAAACCCTAAACAGTTGCAGGCCGAAGTCGTCCCCAGAAACGAAGTTGAGCCAAGGGTAGTGACCCGATGATGCTTTCAGGATACATAACCTACGGCCTTGTGTTTGCGATGCTTGTCCCGTGTTCGGTGCCAGCGATTAGGGCCTACAGGGAGGTCTTGGAACTTGAAGCCTTCTCCTGGTTCCCGCTACTAAAACCCAAAACCCTAAACCCTAAACCCTAAACCCTAAACCCTAAACCCTAAGCCCTAAGCCCTAAACCCTAAACCCCAAACCCCAAACCCCAAACCCTAAACCCTCTCCCAGGATGGGCAACCCTGCCCTCATGTCTATGATGATGAACCCAGCCATGAACCCCTTTGCTGGGGGCCGGAGCCCCAGTCAACCGGAGACAGGCAATTGGGAAAGGGTTTAGTTAGGGTTTTAGGGTTTTGGGTTGTTGCTCTTCCATGCCCTTTGCATTTCTCGACCACCACAAAAATTTTGTGGAAGGGAAGGGGTCCACTTTCTGACCCTGCGCCATGAAGACTCGCAGAGCTCTTTGCGTCTCTTTGCTGTCAGTTTTTGGGTTGTTGCTCTTCCATACCCTCTGCAAATGCCGGCTTTGGAGCCCAAGCTGGGGAGTTTCCAAAGCCTCACGCGGGCCCGCGTCAGGTGGTTACGCCGCAGGAGCCCCTATGGCACAAGCAGCCGCGGAATCCCCCGAGTCGGACCCCCGGATGGGTGTTCCATCCCCACTTTGTGTGCGCTTGTGCTGTATTCAGGCGTTCGGTTTCAGGGATCATTTGCCTTCGACCCAAAAACATAGATAGATAGATAGATAGATAGATAGATAGATTGATTGATTGATTGATTGATTGATTTGTGTGTGCACATGTAATACATCTTTCCACATGTATGTAGATAGATAGATAGATAGATATAGATAGATATAGATAGATATAGATAGATATAGATAGATATAGATAGACATAGATAGACATAGATAGATATAGATAGATATAGATAGATATAGATAGATATAGATAGATATAGATAGATATAGATAGATATAGATAGATATAGATAGATATAGATAGATATAGATAGATATAGATAGATAGATATACACATATACTAACCCCCACCAAGACAAACCCCAACTCTAAAAAAGTAGATATTTTGTAGGTTTGTCTCCTATGAAGATGTAACTCTGGACAGGTATAGCCACATATACATATGTATATATATATATATATATATATATATATATATATATCGCGTTTACATTTATATTCGTATTGATGTATGTATGCATGTTGGTGTTTATTTCGTGTTGGGCTGAGGGGTGCATTCTCAGGATGCGTGGGGTTTGGGTTGTGGATTCTCATCTGCAATTGTTTCACGCAGCACGGCGCAGCTGATGATGCTACGATTGAAGTTGTAGTGGGTGCGACGGCACGTCTTCAAGCTGAAAGATCAACTCAGGAACCTTTGAACCTCGTGCTTTGGTGTCTCAGTACAAACTGGCTTTCAAGTAGAATGCGTCAATATCTTGGACAGGCTTCAGAGAGCGCGGTTTGCGTCGCAGCTGACGCAGCTCTCTGCGATGGGCTTCACGAACGAGGTGAGCCCTCCCGCATCATTGCACCTGCGACTGCTAAGTAAAATCACCTTCGGATCTTTGGACCCTCCGATGATTGGTTCGTGGCATTTCCTTTTCAAGTTCATTGCTATTTGTCTGCGGAATCTGTGCAGATCATGGCAGGCTGCTTGCCTCAGAGCTTTGTCCCAGCACGAGGGTCGCTTGGATGCGGCCATCGATACCCTACTCTCTGGTGATGGCAACAACCCTTAAGGCAGGAACACACTAGCTTCACACTTCACTTAGTCGCTTGTGGGTTTTTCTTGAGCACGTGCGAGTGATGCTGCGAGCCCTCGGCTCAGGGGATGCCTGCACCGTCAGAGGCTAAGAAAATCGTTTTTGCACCGAGATCCCTGACCCAAAGCGACTGCGATGTCGAGGTGAGAGCTCCACTGCGAGCGGCTTCAGTGGCTTCCGCGGCTTCAGTCTTTAGGATTGTGGCACAGCCGTTGCAGGGGCGCTGATCGTAAGGACGCTACAAGATACTAAGGCGCTTCTGTTGTTGGATGTCCCTTTGCCCTTTGCAACATGTTTTCGAGACTGCGTGTGACTGCACGTCTCGTGGCGATGCGAGTTACACTGAAGTGGAAGATAATGCTCTACTTGAGCGATTCCCAACCAATCGGGCTTGAGGCCGTTGCTTGGAATCACCTCTTGTCCTGGCATCACGTGATGCCTGGTTTGACCACCACTGCTGTCCACATCTCTACTGCACAAAGCCCGAATAATCTTGTCCCTCAAAATTCTGCTTGCTCCGTGCTTCTGTTCATGCCACACATCCACCATGATGCCCGGCCTACGAATTCTAGCTGGTGGTGGTGGTGTGTCTAGTGCGAATCAACGTGCAAGATGAGCGTGAGCCGGACCCTGATTTGTACTTGTAGCCCAACCTGTGTTGTGTTGGAATCGCCGGAGTCCGTTCACGCAGTGCCGTAGTTGTGCACCGCATGTTTGCGATTTGATTTAGGACTCCTGTTGCCATATGTTGCCAAGTAGCCTGTGTTGTCTATGTGTGTATCCTTTTGTTGCTTCGTCAGTACATACTGCGCCTCCATGCAACATGACATGGAGCTTGCAAAGCTGATCTTCGAGAGGGTACAGTAAAGATGTCAGCTAAATGGAGCGTCAAATTTCGCCGATTGAGCAGCACGCTCGCCGAAAATGGGTTCACGGTGCATTCAGAGTATGGTGTCGCACCAGACAGAAGCATGACAGAAGCAGCATGACGGTCAATGACAGCTTGATGGCGGCTTTTTGCTTTCTTGAAACGGTTTTTTTGTTGAGTGAAGCCTCAGCTTGAACTCGTCCTGAGGTCACTGGTGCGGCGCCCAAACCTCGTAATGATGAGGAGCAGCTGAAGGCCACATCGGACGTGAGAACGGTTTGAATCCATGGTCCTTGCTGGTCCGATGGCTTCGATGTCCTGAGCCCCGCAAATCCGCAAAGCCCTGTGTCAGGTGCTCTTGGCCGAATCTGACCACTCCGAGGTCCGCAAGTCGTTGCTTCACGCTCGGGGGGGCCGTGGCGAAGTGGCGCGCAAACCCTCGCAGCTGGACAGTTAGACTCCACGGCTCCCATCGAGTCAGCGCGAGCCCCTCAAGTAGAAGCAGCCTTGCGCAAGCTGGAGAGCAGCTGTGTTTATCAGCATGCTCATCTTTTGCCGGACTCTCCCCATCCCTTCCCTTGGAATGTACTGTCTGATCTCATTGGGCGGCCTAGTTGCGTGCCTCTTCCGCCGGCTTCGGAAGGCGAGCCTCACGCTGCTCCTGCCTGCGGATGCTGTCAACAGGGTGCGGACCTCAACTCCAAGCTCAGCCTCCAAAGACTCTGCAGGTTTGGCGTAGGTTTCTCGCCATCTTCTGCATCAACATCCCCACCGGCACCACAAGCTCAAGTCGAGGGTTCCTAGATCGGTCGTTCAGGGTTCATTGAGTCTAGTTCGCACGTGGAGTATCTCAGCGTGCAGAGGGCAATGATGTGTTGCGACACGGCTGCTAATGTAAGGGCAATCTGTGACTCTGTTTCTCGAACGAATATTCGCAGGCTGACTGGGGGTTCTGGGAGGGAGTTGCCACTCCTACTAGCAGGCCCACAATCTGGAACTCCCTCGGGCTGCCTTTAAGATGCAGTTCGCTTTGTGCATCCGCCGCTCGCGTCTAAAGCCCTGTTGTATGTGGCCATATGCAAATAACCAGGTTCATTGCAAGTGTTACACCTAGGAATGCAATTGTCGTGGGTATGATCTTAACTTCAGATAGTCTAAGCTCCGAGGGCTCATGGACCTCCCCCCTCCCCCTCATCCGCCCTCCCCCCCCCCCCCCCGGCTCCTTCCCCCAGCGAACCGGCCATGGCACGCTCGCTGCCGTGCGGCGGGGCCGATGGCAGTGGGAAGCTTACGGTGCATCCCGAGGGCTTCGGCAACCTACTGAAGATGACGGAGGGAATCGGTCCTCAGCGAAATCTTCAGCAGAACTTTCGGGGCACGTCCCCCCACCACCTCTTGGGTAGCCTCTTGACGTAGGTAGGAAGCCAAGCCTCCCCGACTTTTGGGGGAAGTGGATGAAGGCTTCCGGGCCACCGTCTTCAACCTCTCCAACACCATCATGGGCGGAGGGATCTTGGGCTTGCCCTTTGCCATGGAAAAGCTCGGGCTGGTTGCCGGGTGCCTCCTGCTGCTCTCGATGGCCCTCTTTGGGGTCGTTTCTGCGTGGATGCTTCTGATCGCCATGGAGGAGGTGCGGCAGAAGTCCTATGCGGAGGTCGGGAACGTCCTCTTTGGTCAGGTTACTGCGGTCTCCGTTGATTTGTCCATCGCCTTGTACAACATCGGCGTTCTGGTGTCTTATGTCATGATCCTTGGCGACATTCTGCCCGATTTTATGCACTTTATTGGTGCCCCTGCCATGTTGCAGGAGCGGACGGCACTCCTCGTGGCCTCTGCAATCTTCGTGCTGTGGCCTCTCAGCTCCCTGCCGAGCATGGGACACCTGAGGCATGCATCTCTTGTCTGCCTCTTGATGATAGCGCTGCTCGCCGCCTCACTCGTTCTCTTGGCGGTGTGGACCGATGAGACGTCCGAACCACTGCGTTACGGCTGCGAAAGCGGCACGGGTTTCCTGACTCAGCTCCCAGTTCTGATCTTCGCGTACACCTGCAACATGAACGTGCCCATCTTCTACAGCGAGCTGCGTGCGCAGAAGCATGAGAACATCGACAGCAAGTTCAAGACCAAGCGGGAGAAGATGATGTGGGCCACATACGTCAGCTTTGTGCTCTGCTTCCTGGCATACTTCCTTGTCGCACTCTGCGGATATGTGGCCTTCAGAGGGCAGACCCAGCCGGACATTCTGACCAACCTGCAAAGCAACAACTTCCGGGCTGCTCCTTACGTGAAGATGGCCTACTCGCTGGTCATGTTCACCTCGTATCCCGTAATGGCCTTTAGTTGTGTGGCCTCCATCTACAGGTTGTTCTGGGAGTTCTGGTCGTTCTTCCAACCTGAGGATCAAGCCTATGCAAGGTTTGAGGCGTGTAGCCCGTCTGCCATCGTCGATGACGGAGAGTCTTCGCCAAAGGTCTTCTCTACCCCCTACCAGTGGCCGAACGAGTCTAACCTGCGAGAGGCCTCGGACTTCCAGCCAAAGGCCCATCGAGTACCACCCCCGGTGCCCAGCTGGGCCGTGCGGCAGCTGCTAGTTGTGGCCATCGTCGCAGGCACTGTTGCTGCTGGCATTATTCTGCCAGACCTCTCGGTGGTCTTTGGGCTCACAGGGGGTTTCTGTGGAGGTCTAGTTAGCTACTGCTTCCCAGGGGCCTTCTACGTGCGCGTGGCGAGGAAGAGGAGCGAGCACCTACCATGTGGGCCGTGGCTGGGCCACGTGCTGCTATATTTCGGACTGCTGGCGGGCGTCTTCGCCTCCGGTGTGGTCGCATGGCAAGCAAGACATTGAGCGTCTTTGCCGCGCATGGGGCCAAAAACATGTGCGTCAAATGTATTGTTTTGTACACTGACTGGCCCTTGAAATGCTTCTGGAGGTGGCTCAGGCACGGCTCAAAACATTGGAGCACCAGACCGGGCGCTGGACTGAGCACAGAATGCAGTTGAAGCCTGTCTTATCTTCCCGCTGAGTTGGGCAGTGCGACGTGAACCAAGGTCTCAAATCGAGGTTCATGTACTAGGAGGACGGACATCTGGAGCACGGGCCCTGGACTGCCCCTTGTGCGCGTGCAACGCCACGACGCATCACCACCACGAAACCACCACGAAGGTGCACCAGATGACCATTGCTGGTACAAGGCCCCGCCGATGCCAGATGTTGAGTTGTGCAAAGTTGACAGCTCGCCGCAGAGGTCTGGGAATGCCCTGGCCATCCTTCACTTGCAGGCAGCCGCTGCGTTCTGCGACCTGCGACGTGAGTCACGTGGCGGGTTGCGGCTACTTGTTGTTGGGCGTTGAACCGGGCAGTTCCAGTGAGTTGGCAGTTCTTAGGTTGCTGGGCTTTCCTGTAGGAGATGTTTGCGGAGCACCTGAAGCCGGGTGGAAGCGCTGCCCGCATGGCGCGAAGCTTTCGAAAACCGGTCCACGCAAGACTCCTTCACAAAGCTCTCAAAGCTGCCTCACCAGAGGTGGCCCGTGATCGAGTCGACCGTGGCGAGCAACCGAAGCCCACAGCGAAGGTGTCAGCTGCAAAGCCGAAGCCGCAGGCCATGAGCCGGCGCCAGGCCCGCGGATCATGATCACGTCCGTGTGGTCGTGTGGTTCGGTCAAGACAGTGTCAAGACCGTCAGAACCATCAAGACCCACCCTTGTCAATCTTTATCATCTCCGTCTTTGTGATCCGGGAAAGGTCGGAGCACAGCCGGGCCATGAGCGCCCACGCATCTTCCGAAGCGCCAGCGCTGGACGAAGTGCTGGTGCAGGGGGACTTGTGCTCAGAACGATGCCTGGGAATTTGATGGGATTTACCGACAAGGAAGCTTTTTGTCCGCTGTTCTGAACAGCTTCCGACACCTGCCAAGGAGCTGCAAAAGGCACAGGGAAGGCAAGACCTGGTAAAGGCTGGGGGGGGGGTCCTTCCTGGATACACGTAGAGCACCGAGGAAGTGCCATTTTCCCCTTGTCAATTGCTCAGGCCCGGCTGTTGTACGTCGCCAGTGAGCAGCCGCTGGCACGTAGGTGGGAGCACCATACTTTCAACTGTAAGGCGGCGCGAAAAGTCAGCTCGAGGTCAGGAGCTTCAGATGCCATGCCCACGTGCTGACCCAGCGCCTGTATATTGTTGTCAAAGGCTAAGCTGCTCAATGCCATAAGCTCGTCCTCCCATGGCAGCGGCCTCGCTTCGCAAATGAGCCTTGGTGTAGCGCTTCTTGCATGCTGCGTAGATGAAGTGTTTTCGTAGCATCTTACGTGCATTCCCATGACAGAGTCGATGTGCCAATCCTTGTAGCAAGCGCTTGCAAGCGCCGATGAAAGTCCACGCTGGTGTAGGGGTACTTCTTGAGATTTCGCCTGCGTACCCGGGCTTTGTTTTTTTCTCAAAGTGATGCATCTTCCTCTGCTCCCCCGGAAACAAAAAACCAAGAACCACATCTGCATCATCATGTGTTGTAGAGCATGCGTTCAGCTTCAGACACCTCAGGAAAAGAAACAACATCCGCGACGGGTCACTCGATAAGTCACGTGAAGGGAGCGATCGGCTCACATGGGAAACCGCATCTGCATTTCAAGCTTGGGGTCTGCGTCTGGAAGCACAGGCCTCCGTGCTGGGGTTGGCGAAAGTAAAGTTCGTGGGAAGTTAGACGTCATTGCCCAGCTCGTATTTGATTCTTTGTGCCTTCTGGCTCAGCCTCCAGAGACGGGTCCGTGGACTCGGGTCACCAGTGGGTCTTCACGTCAGAGCAACAAGGACTAGTCACAGCCACATCAGCAATACTGACGTGGTTGCCTTAGATATACAGAGAACATAGAGCTGCCCCATTTTTTTGATCGGACCAGAGACCACCGAGTGGCCACATTTGCTGGGACACACGCTGTGACGTCAAAGGTTCCTTGCCCTGGGCTTAGAAGGTGTCACACTGCCGAAGTGAACACTAGAGGACTTCCGAGACTCCTTGCTGAGGGTGCGAGTCCGAGGCAAGTGTGCAGGCCCTGTACGCATCCATCGGACTGACGACCTCGCGCCTCTCAGGGGCTGCCGAATTTGATGCACCAGACCCAGAGCCCAGGGAAACCGGCGCTGTTCGCTGCGACTATAAGCGCACTGAGGCCTGTTTCCTTTATGGATGACGCCGATGTGGGTGCCTCAGTGGCCGCACCAGCTCGCAGAAAATGTACGCCATGGTGGGTGCAACCATGCCTGCCAAGGATGCTAGATCTCCCTTTTCAGGCATGACGCCGGTTCTCCTGAACGCCAGCCTGGCCTGTTTTTGTCCCACCACCCTGGCACTGTATTACAGTCCCTGGCCAGGAAAAGTTTGTTGTTCACTCATACGATGGTGGCTCGCAGCAAAGCCGCGTCTCGCCGGCAAATGCGCTCTCTGAGCTGTCGCTGCCTTTTCTGAGCTCTGTCGCTAAGGCAGTCAGTATGACGTGAAGCATGCTACTTGAATGCACTCAGTGAGGGATGGGTGCACAAGGGTCCCTACGGTAAACATCCTCACCTTCCTCTTGAACGGGGAGATCTGCTTAGTTGCAGCACTAGTTGCAGGGGGAAGCATAGTTGCGCGTGGAAGCTATAACTTCGTTCCTTTGAGGAGCGCAAGTTGTGCTGCGAGCGTGCGCTTCTCTTCGTCGCAGTGGATGCGCATCTCTCCGTGCCGTTTCATTGGTCATGTTGCTAGCACGTTTTCGAGTGCTTTTTGTGGTTGAGGCAAAGCATGCATGATGTCGACAACTTACTTTTGGCTATTTTTCGTGCTTATCGAGTTGAGGGTATGTTTGGCTCTACACAACGCGCTTGTCGGACGTCAAAGCGCAAAGAGCACCGATAGCGGTCTCAGTCGTAGCGCCCAAGCCCAGGCCTGGAAAGCCGAGGTCTTAAGTGCGGTTACAACTCGTCTGACCTAGGGTTTAGGGGTTTGGGGTTGAGGGTTTAGGGTTTAGGTCTCCGACTCTGTGAAATTCCGCGGCAGCCACCTTGCTCCGATCCGAGGTAGAATGAATGAGAACACCCCCTCTGCGGTACATAGTCATGTGTGGAATTCGTCTTGGTTCTCGCTGATTCGCGCAGAGGTTCTGATGCCTACGTTGGAGCCCTTCCACTGCTCCGACAGGCTGCCTGTCAGTAGCCAGAGATCTTTTAGGGTTTAGGGTTTAGGGTTTAGGGTTTCGGGTTTAGGGTTTAGGGTTTAGGGTTTCTTGCTTGTGAGGTCTTGTGTAGGGAGTCATGTGTTCCCTGCATTTTCGCTGCTGGCAGGGGCTGCAAGTTCAACCTTGTACTCAAATGCTCAGAGGACCTGTTGGCCATGGATCTGCTAAAAAAAGCGCTCCCCTGATATGTCCAGTGAATGTAGGACTTCACCCTGACACACTTCTACATCAGTGGGCCTGGGCCGAGATGTACGGAGCCAATCAGGCGATGGGAAGCTGGCAGTGCTCCTCTGGTAGCATGATCTTCTCACCCAGCTCCTTTGAAGTGTGTTTCGATGAGAACCCCAAACCGAACCAACTCTACATTGAGGCCATGATCAGATTGGCCGAGATTTGGCCCCCCCCCATCAACCCCTCCTGCCAGGAGCGGGCTAGTCTGGGTCTGCAGCGAGTTGCCGCAGGCCGGCGATGGGCTTTTCAACGGAAGTTGAGGTGTTGGTGGGATTTTCCGTGTGAGGTCAAGGGGTCAAAGCTGAGGATGGGTCTTGCAAGCTGAGGATTTCGAGGTGACAAGCGCTTACGATGATCTGAGACCTGACGAGTTGGAAAGCCACCAGTCCGTGGATGAGGACGAGCATTGCACCATGGTGGTGACGTGAAATATGGGGAATTCCAAGGAAAGTCAAGTCCCACTTCAGACAGCCTGTGCATGAGGAGCGAAGGGGCTGGAATGATGCATCGTCAGCTTTTGACCCGCTCGGAGCTCAGGAAAACCAAGGCAAGATCACGAAAGCGAGCCCATGACCGATCGTGAAGCAAACAGGTCAATGACACCCTCCACAGTCAAGACCCCCCAAGTTCAGAGAAGGAGTGTCATTATGGCTGTTGACCCGAGCTTTCGTGGTCTGACAAGGTCACTTCCATGTTGGCTTCATTGAGGTTGCGTTGCGTGCAGGGTCTAAATTTCTGAAATGGCCCGGAGGTTTGAGATGTTTGAGGCTTCAGATCTGGTTCCATTCTACTGGCGACGAACCGCGCTGAATGGAAGAATCCTCCGAGGCCTTGCGTTCGCTTCCAGACAGACGTGGAGTCCCGAGAGGCAGAGGTGGAGTTGCCCAGGCGCGATTTTTCTGACCCGGTCCCTGAACGCTACCAGCGTTAACATCCCACCCTGAATCATCCCAACCCATCCCCCCACGGCCTGAGCAGCTTAAAAGGGCTCCAAACGTGGCTTTCAGGTGGCAAGAAGGCCGCTACGTGATCGTCCGCTTTCTGGATACTCACTTTGCAGAAGAGCAGGCGGTGCAGATTGTTTCAGATGAGGTATCAGGTTTACGCACGTTCTGGAATCCAGTCGCAAAACGTGCAAAGCCTTGAATGCCAACCTCCGACATCCAGGGAAGCCCGTTTGCTTGTTGGGATGCATGGGAGGTCAACGTGGACGTGGGCATGATTGCCCTGGTCGGCCACTTTGGCCATTGCGGCCGACATCAGGCGCGCTCTGCTTCCAGCACAGGATCCTTTACGGTGCATTCTGATTGAAGATTTCGTGCTGCCTGAGTCTTTCGAACATCAGTTCTGTAGAGCCAAGGGCAGCGAGTGAGAACTTGTAAGCAACTGCTGAAGCTTTTTTGGACTACAGGCTGCGCAGTCTGAATACGCCCACAGGGGGGTCTCCGGACGGCATCGCTGGAACTACCTCGACCACATGCCACGTCCGTGAATCTCTTGCTGAAGTTTGTGAGGTGCCTGTTGGACCTTGGATGCGAAGGCGTGTGCAACAGGCTTGTGGGCAGCAAGCGCTTGCAAGTTCAGGATCTTCAGTCCTTTTGCTTAGGGAGTCCAATTCTGACAGAAGCCGAAGGCCGTAACACGACCTGAACACACCCCTTCCTCTCCCTTTGATCCTGTACGCTCTAAATATCCTTAAGCTTCCTTGCAGTAAAACCTTGTAGCCCATTAGCTTCCTCCCTTTCTTCTCGACGCAGCTTCCAAAGGCCTGGGTCCATGCGCGGCCGCTACTCCGCACCTTCTCGTCCGGGGGCTGGGTCGCTCCCCCGGAGACTCGATTCGGTGATTCGGAGTTGAGATTCAGGGCCTTCAGATGCCAATGTGTCAGGTATTTTCAGTTTGCATTCTTCGGTTCGGGCGTGGGTTGAGGTCTTGGTGTTGTGCTGGGCCTTGTGGGATCTGCATCTCCTGAAGCCGGAGCTGCGTCGTGCAGTTGCTCATGGTCTCATGGGATGCTAGTCAGCCAAGCTCTGCGCAAGCGTGGAGTGTAAGCTGGTCACCAGAAGATAACGCATCGTGTCTGAAGCCTACATCTCTTTGACGCCCGAGCTTGCCCTGCAGGTGTGCGACGGTCGAGACTTTACGGGGGGCTGTCGCGGCAGCTTCACTGCCATTCCGACAGCTTTGCACCGTTGCTGACAGTGGCTGGGATCACTTTCCATTCTGCTTAGCAGTAGCTGGGGCTGTCCAGCAGCCATGTTTGGTGAGACCGCTGACAAACAAACCTGTCACAGCAACTCGAACAAATCCTGCGCTCGCCAGGATTTTCACCAGACGACGATGTACACCTCCCGCTTCCACTGCTCCGTCACGGGCTTCGATCTTTGTGAAGCGTGCGCCCACGACGCTCCAGCAGCCAATGGGGCGGAGGTTGCGGAGAACTTGTATAAGTAGAATAACGCACGGAACTTTGGGGGATGGGTCCTCTAGTCGTGATTCCTTGGATTGTTAAATCTGTGAAACGTTCGAGTCTCCTCATGTTTCAAAATGTTCAGCACTTTGAGAATCCCCGCCGTGTGCGTTTGATAGAGTGTATGTTGCCCAGAAATGAAACTGCATCCATCGTGCTTGCATAGAGCCCAGAAGCAGAAAACCTCATGACCGCACACGAAAGTTATGAATTGTTAGCCCCCTAGGACCGCATTCCGTCGAAGTTCCTCGGTTGAAGCCTGCTGTTCACCGCATCTCCTCCAAGTTCTCCCAACAAAAGGTTGTTTGGGGTCCAGTCTGGGTTGCCTGTTTTGTGAAGTTTGACTGGGAGTCGCGCGGAAACAGCAAGATGGATGCCACAGCCAAGGACAACTCTTTGGGCAAGGTCACCGACGCTGCTGTCCAGGTGCAGCATTTGAGTTCTTGGAGTTGTGGGTTCTTTGTTGGTGCCCGCTCGCGCTATTTGAGCATGGTGCCACCTCGTTCGGATTGCCCCTTGCCCGGGCTGAGGATGCAGAAGCAGCGGGGATGGGAGGTGTCATGTCCCTTCTGCAGGCAGATATCGAAGCTTTGCAAAATGCTTCTACGTGCAAGTGGCGGCCACAGCAGGGACAGCTTCATCCACTGTCATAGCCTTTTTGGCTGTCTTGCAACTGAAGGCTTGTTGGAACCCGCCTCCGGAATCTCTGGAAGCGAAACTGGCTTCACGCCGTTCCCAGGCTGGCCTCGTTTTACTGCAAGGCGTTTCCAGTAGCAGCTACCTCGCCAGGTATTTTCGGCACGGGCTTCTGCAGCGTGTGATGACTTCCCTGCCCGGATCTCGCGATGTGTCGACTCGGCACTGCCAGAACGAGCAAGATGGAAGGCAGAGCTGCCTCGATCATCTCACGCAGTCCGGAAGAGCGCGTGCACTCCTTGAAGAGGAGGCCACAAAGCAATAGCAGCCCAAGTTGAAGAGCAGCTGAGCCATGGAGTGCGGCTCGCTTTGGCAGGTAGCCAGCGGGCGAGGTCGCGGGAGGTTGGTGGGCACAGTGTCTAGGGCTGAGTCGCGGTAGGGCCGGTAGGGTTCTGGTACAGGGTTGTAAGTTACTCGTGCAAGTTGTACGTTGCAGATACAGACTGCGTGGGGTCCGCTGAAGCTTCCGCTTTCCATGACTGCAAAAACCTTGCTTGCAAGCAAAGATTGAGGTTGCATCCCGATCCTCAGCAAAGTGCTGCACTTCGTGCAAGCAGCCGAGAACCATTCCTTGCCTGGCCTTCCTTGTGTCATCTTGTCCTCAAACTCTCCCACCTTTTCTGTTAATCTCTCGGCCTCAGCCCCCCCTCCTTCGCTTTTCTACATCTTTGGAGGCAGAGTGTCACACATTCTAAGGCCTTATTGCAGCTTGTTTCCGACCTGGTCCACAGCATCCTTGTGCGCGTGCGGCCAGGGTGTGACATCCAGGCGCAGGGAGCATACCTGGAGCATGCTGTCGTGTATCATCTTTTGGGTTGTGGACTAAGCGTTGGCATGCAGGTGAACGACCTGGCATGGGCACCCGTAGCTGGGCCCGCTGGGCCCTCAGATCAGTTCGCCCAATCATCTCAGAAGCTCAGCCACCATCAGCCCTGATGATGCAAGGCCTCTGACGGTCATGGTCCCTCGTGCCGCTGGGAAAGGCCGCCGCATATTGACAAACCCCATCAGACCCCCGCCGTCATAGATCTCATCCCAAGGTGCCGAGTAATCAGCTTGCCTCCGAACTTTCCGGCTGCGGCGTGCTGAGACCCCTTCACGTCTGGCAGCTGCTTCTCCTCAAGCAGGGATGGCCCATGTGGGGCCGAACTGCAGGGCACACAGCCTACGTAAGACATCGACTTTGCATGGCTTAAGGTGAACCCTTCCTCGGCTTGCCCCAACCTTGACGAGGCACCGGGAGTGCAGTCAGTCGTTGGAATGTTTTCTAGACGATGCTTCGGTGCCTTTGCTCTTCCAGCGCATCTGTGCTGTGTGGATGCTGTAGTGGATGCAAAAGTTGCTAGAGGAGTACATAGAGGAGTACATAGAGGAGTACATAGAGGAGTACATAGAGGAGTACATAGAGGAGTACATAGAGGAGTACTAGCTCCTGTAGAGCAAAACGCTACAGGACGACGAAATGGACACTGGGGTTGCCAGCGCCTCCTTCTTGGTGTCCTCCCGGGATTGGAAAGGGAAGCGACAGGTGCAGGCGGCCCTTGTGACGTTCATCCTTTCGCTTAGCCCAAGTCCTGCCATGCCATGTCCAGGCAGAGAACCTGTGGAAGGTTACCAAGCAATTGAACGATGAAGATGCCTGCTGCCCAGCATTTGGCTGAAGTGCGAACATGAGAAGACGGCACGATGCTACAGTTGCAGGTGTCTGTGCAGGATGGACTGGCGAATGCAAGTACTTTGCAGTTTGAGTCTTTGAAATCTGTTTGTCGTGATGTGTGAGGCGAGCATGTCGTTTCATACTGCTAAGGTTGTCATCACCACAGCTGGACTCCTAACAGAAGTTCTGCGCGGCGTGCAGTGCGATGTGAACGAGGATCGGCATCGCCAGCCCATGTTCGTGCCCGGTTGCTTCAGTGCCACCTACAATTGTCTTACACAGGGCGTGTGCACATTGCAGGTGCGACGGCTTGTCTGCCACTCTGCAGACCTTTCAGCTGCAAATGCTGCGCCCTCAGAGAGAGGCAGAGCCGGTGTCGTTTCCTTCCACGATGTTTCGATGCATGCTTGGACTTCCCTTGCATGGGTTGCTGAAACTGGATGCAGCCCGATGACGGCAATCCTGCAGCCTGGCATGCGCAAAGTTACCTTAACATCCTTAACAGTGTTAACAGTTCCTGCGGACAAGTGATGGGGTCCGCTGTCCGTTTCTATGGCAAGGAATCAGAGCTCGGTAAAGGATGGCAATGGTGGTTCAGGGGAGTCATAGTCATCCCTCCACGAGCACGTCGAAAGAGTCGAAGCACTCTGCTGTTTTCCACTCGGCCATGGCTCCACTTTTGCGACAACCGTGGAGACCACAGAGCACCTTGGCAGTCAGCAGTTAGGACGGTGAGAGGTTCGGGCTTCAGGCGAAGCGTGTGCAGGCCCCACGCAAGAAACCCACGCGCTTCGTCTTCGTGCCATGGAATCTCTCCAGATGTGCAGCACATGTCGAGCATTGAGTGGAGGCATTCTACTGTGTGCTGCAGCCGCAGCCGTGGTGGTGCGGACGTCATTGCGCAGCCCTCAACAGGCCCCATGCGCAAACACTCACTAATGCTGACTTCCGGCTTCTAAGTGCATAACTTTCATCACACTGAAGAGCACCTCCAAGTGACGCGCAAAAACGAAAGGAAGTCCCTGAGGTACTTGTGACCAAGCGACCAGACATTGCAAGCCGGACTGCTTATCACTCATTAGATGAAACACCAGTATCAAGGAAGTCCATCTCGCAAAAGGTCAGATGCCATTCGTCTTGTGTTTGCCAACATCACCAGATCATTCAGAAGGTATTCCTGTGTACTGCGGCATGCGAGGCGCACGCATCTGCTTTGGAAGTTACAGGCCTCCGTCACTTCACGGTGCGCCTTAGCCCACTGCACGCGGACGTCAAAACCGCCCTTGCTCTGGATCGCTCTGCATGCCACTCTCCACAAGGCAACTTGTGCCGATCTTCCTGAAACAACTTCTCTATGCGGTACTCTCGAGGGGTATTGCGGGATCCATCAAATTCAGCTTCAGTGACAGCCCATGTGCAGATGCTCCGGATGATGTCCAAACCCGATCCATCAGTAAAGAGATGGCGTCTTGTAGAAGTGTCAGTCAGTTCGTCCACACGTTGTTCAGGCCTTAGCCTGCCAAAAAGCCTCCTGTGTGGTTGGTGGGCGGATAAGAGCTCCTAACAAAGCAGGATGTGTTTCCACACCGCGCTGCCACTGAGGAAGTTGATTTGGTTTGGGAACGTGCTTGCAATTATCTCCCAGTGGACCTTGGAGGGCAGAATCCAGTGGACCTTGGAGGGCAAGGTTGGAAGTTTCATATGTGGCTCCACTTGCCACGGAACAATTTCATGACATTGCTCTTGAAAGTTGGGAGCGTTTCCTCGTGAGGCGCTGGCGGTTTTTCAATGGGGGTCCCATGCACCTTACACGTGGTGGCACTATTCAAAAACTTCCTACGCTTCCTCCAACACCAAACCAAACAAGAACGCTGGCAGCTGCCTGTACTGCTCCGGGCCCTGGGAGGAATGACTTGGCGGGTACCTGAGACACTCTTGTGGTACTCTTAAGTTTCGGCAGGTTTTTGCCTATCTTCATTCGATTATCAGCTCCAAGTCTCTGGCTCGTGCTCAACATGCAGCATTCAGCAGCACGCAAAGAGCTATGCATGAGTTGGATGCTAAGCCGTTCTAGAAGTTGCTGCCGCTGGCGAGGCGCTGATCTCCTTGCAGAGGACCTGCTCGCAGCCCACTCCCTGCACCGCTCAAATTCGTGCACTTCGTATTGAATGCAACTGTTGCAAGATGCCGCAAGGACATGAACTGATGCATGCCAAGCCCTTACACAACTTATAAAGCCTCAAGCCGTCGCTGAAACATCCACCCCCCCCCCCCCCCCCCCCTTTCGCTGTCGACTCTGTCAGCCCTGGGGAGTTGAGGCCTTGCATTAAATTTCACCGCCATGAAGCTTCCTAAATCGGAGGATTCCTGCGGGGCCCCCCCCGACCGTCAGCGGGTCGGGCACGAGTGGCACCAGCTCGGCCGCTCCACCGTGTCCATTTGTTTTGGATGTTCTTGGGTTGATTGTAGCGTTTAGGGTTTAGGGTTTAGGGTTTCGGGTTTAGGGTTTAGGGTTTAGGGTTTGGGGTCTAGGGTCTAGGGTCTAGGGTTTAGGTTTAGGTTTAGGGTTTAGGGTTTAGGGTTAGTTCAAGGTGCAGGCATGGTCCGGTTTTGGATGAGAGCGGCCCAGGGTTGAAGCGCTTATGGTTGAAATGATTGGCTGGGACTTCGGGCTCGGGACGCATGCGGGACTCAGATTGCTTGTCGTCTTCTAAACGCACGCCCTGGCGTGCTCCAATACCGCTTTATGGCTCTGACCGGGGCCTTCATTTTCCCGCAACGATTTGATGCGATGCTGGCTCACGATGCGTCGTGTGTGGCCTGTAGGCGAGCCCCACTACGACCATGATTTTTGGCTCATTGCGCATCAGTGAGGGGGTGCTCGTTTCAGCTGACAAGCTGACAACATTGAGTTCATTTGAGGACCCCCCTGCCTCCGCCCCTTCCGCGGGATGTCATCCCTCAAGACTTTGTACTTAGCCTGTCACCCCCTGAGCCTTTCCAAAGCTACTGATTAATACTTATGAATATTTCCCTGAGGCCGTGCCCCCACTCCTCCTCGCTGGGGTGGCCGCTGTCACTGCCAGCGCCACGGTCGGGGCGAGCTCCCTCCTCGCCGGCTCCAGGCGCTCTTTCTTTGCAGTCGCATTGGGCTTAATTACCACAATGAAGGGCCGGCTGTTTGAGTTCTGACGTGCTTATACGTGCTTGCAAGCTCCATCCACACCCTTGCCTCCAACGACCACCGCGGATGACTACTTCAGTTCTTGCTTTCGGGGCATGATAGCTGAGGTTTGTGCGGGGCCTATCATTTCTTCCTGGTCGTTTGTGCAAGACTTGATTTCGTGTTTTGGGGCTTTCCGGTGGGTTCCGGATTTGGAATTTGGCATTTTTGGGTTTCTTGCGGTCGTGCTTGTGATCAGGGTAAATCCTGCCGTCCCCGGCACCGTATGTACTTCATCGACTGGGATCCCACTTCTGTCAATCGTTCTTCTTGGGAACTTGGCAGGTGGGGAAACCGCCGTGAGGTTAGATGCGAAAGACGCCAGCGGGACGTCCAGCGTGACGTGCCTTGGCGAAAGAAGGAGATGGTAAAGTAGGCTGGGCCAGAAGCCACTTTGTGTTGGCGTTGCTCACATTTGGCTGGGTCAGTCTACCAAGGTTGCTTATCAGCAGGATGATGAGGCTGGGCTGACGACCCAAGCTCGCACGACTAGCTCTGATGCTTTTGCGCAGGTGAGCATTGCCGCCCCGGCGCCGGCCGACCTGTATGCTGGGTCCTCGGGCAAGACTGACGCGAGAGGGATGTCCCCGGTGCACAGCTTTGAGGAGCTCTTTGGAACAAGTTCCGGGGCTGACGAGAAGGAGATTAAGAAGCAGTATTATGACCTACAGAAGCCTGGACCTCGGCCATCAACTTCTGCTTCACGGCATGAGGGCCTATCGGGTGAACCAAAGGCTGTGCCACCCGGATGTCGCGGGGCCGGAGGGCGAGGACACAAATAGGGATGGTTTGGTTCGGATAAGCTTGTGCTCGAGTGTCAGAAGCTGTGACGGCTGTGCCTGCGATGCTGTGCGAGGAGATGTGCATACTCCTCAACGATGCATGGGATTTGCTTTCAGACCAAGAGAAGCGCAGAGACTACAATGCTCAAATCGAGCTGCCTGCTCGCATTTCATGGGGCATGAGGGGGCGTGAAGGGGCACGTCGGTTTTGATTCGCCATTGATATCTTAATGTACTATAATGTACTAGTACCAGGGACCCAGAGGTGTCAGAAGAGCGCCACTTGCGTGTTGTCACCTTTTCCTGCATTTCCTCCATGCAAGTCGAGGCTGGCCAAGCCTGCTTACCTGGCCAAGAAGCCCGAGATCTCCACGGATCTGTCTCCAACCTGGTCTTCAAAGCGCAAGACCCTGACCCTTTTAAGGCACTTCAAGGAATCAACTCTAGAGATTGTCAGTCTAGAGATTGTGAGGGCTTGCAAGCAGCTCCTGCCTCATCCATACTCTGTTCTCCAAGGAAGCACCATTCAGATTACACCGGGATTCTTGGAATGCACTGCATTGTCTTCCGTCACCTCGGCATCCGGCGTTCGCGCCCGTTGTATCTTGCCAAGGACCCCGCTGTCCCACTCAAAGTGGGGGAAGGTGGGCAGTGACCTACAGAATCTCTTTTCTACCCAACGATGCACATGATTTCAATCATTAAGATGTAAGATTGTTGGTACTAGATATATGAATATTGCGTTTAAATTCATCAATTAAAAGTTTAATTAGGAAGCTGGTACTCATGATCCATGTGCGGAGGCTTGCAGAGTCCCTTTCCTTCCTTGTCTTGGCAACTAGCAAGGTGGCTCCTGAAGACCGTGGAGAGAAGCACCTGCAGGAACAGAGCCTTGTCAAGGAAAGTGAAAGGTTAGGGTTTAGGGTTTAGGGTTTAGGGTTTCGGGTTTAGGGTTTCGGGTTTCGGGTTTCGGGTTTCGGGTTTAGGGTTTAGGGTTTAGGGTGATCCTTTTGATGTGGCGTCAGTGGCTGGAGGAAGACGTGTGCTTGAGGTGCTTCCACACGGAAGTTGGAAGCGTTGTGGAGCTCTCTGCTTGTAAGCCCTGAGCTGCAAAGCCATTTCGGAGCTGGTCATCCCGAGTCCCACTTTCAGTGTTTCTCGTCGAAGCCTTCAGCTAAGGATGCTCTTTGTGGATGAATGGTCATGTATCTGTTGCCGCAACTGTCCCTTAGCTGCATGCATGTTGGCAGGATCCGGCAGTGATGGGTTGGAGTCGAGACAATATCCTGATCAGTACAGAGATGGCTCGAATGCTTGGGAAGTTTCCTGGGCATGTCTCT